TGCTAGGCTCTGGGGCAATAAGTATGAACAAAATGTGACTCTTGTTCACATGAGCATTAGGGTCCATAGTGAGCCATAAAAAAAAATGAAGTTAAATATATAACAATGTGAGAAGACATCATGTCCCTCCAGTTCGTACTCCAAAGTATTTTGCTCCAAAGTAGAAAGTGGAAAAATGAGGGAGAAGTCTTCCATGGGCATAGTCCAGAGTTAAAATTTGGGGGGGGAATGGCATGGATTTTGTTCAGACTCTTGGTCCTTGCTGGAGGAGTTTAAAGACGAGGGCAAGATGGCGATGGGATGGAGAGCAAGGTCAGGGAGCAAAGATAAATAGGCTTTTGACATGGATGACAAAGCTTCACAATGCTTCTCGCTAGAACTTGCTTCTGCTCTGAATGCTGTGGCGGAAAGAGCACCGTGACCCGGTCCTCTGTCACCGTCTGGGATTGGCACTTACTTCCCTATCTCATCTGGAAATAGGAATAGAACACCCGCTGGGCAATTCCTCCCAGGATTGTGGAGGCGCAAATGAAGGAGTTTGAGTAGTCGATGCAAACTCTAAGATGTTACAGAAATCAGCAATGATACCTGGACCCACCAAAGCAGCGGATGGAGAGGGCTGCTCCACAAGCCCCTTCCAGATGGAGAACCTGCAGTTAAGTCTTCTTGGCAACCCTTCTCTGCAGCTCCCCTGCTAAAGTCACAACCAACCTAGGAAGAGTGGTTTAATAAACCACAGTGTGCCTATTTATTAATATTCTTAATGCAGTTGAGGTTCTGATGAGAAATCGAAATAAGGCAACTTCTCTGCCCCAGTGGAAGTTTCTGATGTTCCACTAACATTTCGTAGCACAGGAAGCTGCCATTTGCCATCTGTCACCTCTCCAAGACTTCTGGTCTGCACTTGCTGGTTTGCTCCTGCGGATTCCCATCAGGATGGGACATACCAGCCACAGGACGAAGGGGGTCATATTCCCTTGGTTTTTTCTTCCCTGTCCTTCTGATTGAGGAGGGGTGGGATGAGGGAGAGGGCAGTGCTTCAGGTTTGCTGGAGGCTGGTCATTCACACCAGCCAAGCACCACCCCGAGCACTTTGCAGATGTCACTTAATTCTGTCTTCCTGTATATGGTTGGGTCGAGAGGCTAGTGAGCACATCTGCCCTGCTGCCTGACCACCCTCCCTTAACCAAAGGTCAGCTCAGTAAATCCTCACATAAATGAGCAATTTCATCCAACAGCCTTCTAAGTGGGCATTATTATACTCAATTTACATTAAAAATGTAAATTAAAAATGTTGTCCAAGGCAGGAGAGTATGAGTGGCTTAGGGGCTGGAGGTATGTGCTGTGTCTACAACCAGAGTTCACACTCCATCCATTAACCTCCTCTTAGGAGTAGATTGTTTCTAATTATTTTCCCAAAACCTGGCATTCCATCTGTATAGGAAAACAAGTTCTAGTTAAACAATATTAGTAACATACCCAGAAGCAATTATTTTATAGATCTTTGGGTCCTATTTCCAGATTCTATTTATGAACATGTCCTCAATTCTTGGGAGAACAGACATCATGTCAAAAGTCAAATATTTACTCAACCAACATGTGTGAAATGCCTACTATGTCTCAGACCCTGGGCCAGAGACCTGAGATACAAAGGTGAATAACAGATGGTCCCTGTCCTTGAGGAACCTATAGCCAATTAGCTCTCTGTTTTTTTCCCTAAAATTACAAAAATGGGGCCTCCCCAGTGGCGCAGCAGGTTGAGCACAGTGCTGTGAAGTTGTCCGCAGCCTCTGCAGCGCGGGTTCAATTCCTGGCTGGCCAGGGAGATACACACATGGCACAGCAGACCTATCTCGCCTGCTGCTCCCCTCAGCAGTCCTTTAGGTCTGTCTGCCTGTTCTGCTCCCCACTCTGTCTCTGGTGAATCCTCTTACCCTCCCACACCTCTGACCTGTACCCCAGCTATTGTATAAATAAAACAAATCTTTAAAAAAATAATTTAAAAAAATTACAAAAATGAAAGATATTGACTACAGATTATATGGAAGTCTCAGGTAAGAAAAGAAAGGGGAAAATCACCCCAACTTCAGACAATTATAATTCCTGAGGGCAAAGCCTTTTGTTTAGCATCTCTGTCACCACAAAACCTTAGGCCTAAAGGAGAAGACAAGTCAATGTTTTCCGCGCCAGTGAGAAGGCCACCCTTCATCCCGTCTCCGTGAAATAACCACTGCTGATGTTAGAAAAGACTCTTCATCAGATTGGTGTAGTTGAAGAGGTTAGATTCCATCTTCTTTTATAAGAAATCACACCACTCTAGCTAACAAAGATTTATTGATATATAATGTTGTGGGGAAGAAAAAAAAAAAAAAAAGACTCTTCATCACCTTTCTTTGTGAAATGACCTAAGCCAGGTGGATAAATTATGGCCTCTTTAGTACCCTTCAAGGAATGCGATGCCACCCACCAAGTTGGCTTCTTAATTGTTCAACAGAACCAACCCTTTATACCCCCAAGCCCTCCCATGGCCCACCCTGTGCTCATGTCCCCCTCGAATCTCCCTAGAAAGCCTCAGGGGCAGGAAGTTGGCTTATGTGGAATAAGTTCCCTTGGATAGAGGGGAACTATTACCAGTTTTCCTCAACCCAGGCTACTGACAGTTTCAAAACTCCTCACCCGTCTTCACATCAATTAAAACAGACTCGCTAGCTCGAGGCCCTTGACATGAGCTGCCAGGGCCAAGGATTGGGAATCACTGTCGAGACTAGCAGAGGGCACTGTGGTGGTCAGAGTTGTGACCTGAAATAATGATACCAGTCTTAGTGATAGTTAGACAGAGTTTATTAGATTTTCAAAGTGAGGATTCAGGCCCAGAACAATCTGACAGATTTTACTGAGAGATCTGCTCCACCAGGCATGACATTGAGTAAGAATATTCCGCTTAGGAAAGAAGGGGATAGTTATTTTCTTACATCAAATAGCAATCAAAGCATTCATTTTTGACAAGTATTCTGGTTTTCATTTGTAGGTTTTAAAGGGTCAAACTTGCCCGGTTGCTCAGACTCAGACACTGTCATCACTGTGTGTCCATAAAGGCAGGCAAGACATTAAACATTATCTACCTCTGCTTGTGAAATTTGATTTTGGGTGCTCGGTTTTGAGCTTCCTGTAACTGCCTTCTGGCAGCAACAGACATGGAGAGATGCTTGATTTCATTTTCTCACAGGAATTTGGATTTTTCTGCATCACTTCAAGGGTGAGCCAGACTGATAAGAGTTTTGAACTTTTTTCCAGCCCGTCAGATCAAGGAGGTGTGCGGGCCCAAAATGCAGCCTCAGTTTTTAGAGTGTTGGACACTCAGTCCCAGGACTTAGCATCTCAAGAGTTTTCTGTAGCCCATTTTGTGAAAAACCCAGATAGTATGAGTGGGCAGTTGGCTTACAGTGAAACCCAAAGGAAGAAAAAACATATTTGTTCCAAAAGGCTCATCTGGGCCCCTGGATAAGGGAAGAACACAGAGAAATCATTTTCATCTATGACAGGGGCACATATAGGGAGACAAGTATGAATGCCCCAATGAACTTAGTGAAGGCACTTGAGTTTTCTGACTTCATTATGAAGAAAAGAATTTTCCAAATAAACAGTTATCAGAGATAAGCCACTTTAACAAGACTGCTTAGCAAAAGGAGATGATTAAGTTGTCATTGAATACTTGTTATTTGTCAAGTTATTATGTCAAACACTTATTGTACCATTTGCACTAGTCATTATTTATTACCATTTTTTTAAAGATTTATTTATTTATGTATATATGAGCTGAGGTACAGGCCAGAGGTGCAGAGGGTGAGAGGATTCACCAGAGACAGAGTGCGGAACAGAACAGGCAGACTGACTGAAATACACTGCTGAGGGGAGCAGCGGGCTAGTCAGGAGAGGTCTGCTGCACCAGGGTCTCCTCCCTGGCTGGAGACCGAACTCGTGCTGCAGTGGCTGCAGATAGCTTTATAGGTTGCATCTTTACCCCTTGCACCACCAGGGAGGCCCCAGTTTTATTCCCATTTTATAGTGGAATAAATCAGTGCTAATAAGTGTTAAGTAACTACCATAAAATCACATCCAAAAAATGAGGTGAACCCCAGCCTTTCTAAGTTTGAAGCTCATGCTTATTTCAGCCTCCTTCCCTGGCCTCCTCAGGCTTTCGCAGCCCAACTTGTGAAGAAGTAGTATAAAATATGGGGAAATTCAACGTGATCACCCTCTCAGCCAGCTGAAGAGCCCCTCTCGGTGTCACAAGCAGCCAGAGTGTTACGTGCAAAGAGCTCTGGCAGTGCCTCTGCCAACCAGCCACTGAATGGGTCACTTAGACCACCTAGGTCTGTTTACTTACTGATGCAACAGAAAAGACTAGAACCATTAGGTCAGTGTTCTTAAGCTCTCCTGTGGGGACTGAACAGACAGAGGCAGGGCTTTTTCTTTTTCCCTTCAACCAAACAAGCTCTGTGTTTAGCTGCTGCAAGAGAAGTTTCTCTCCTTGGGGAAGGGAGGCACATGTGGAAGGCAACCACAGGGTTAGTAGCTAATGGTTAATGTCTATGACCTTCCAGTTTGATAGTTGTTGGCCAGGTCCTCTGTTTTTAAAAATGCACAGTGCTGGAAGCATCGGTGACATCGCATTGCTTGAGTGCATACTGAACAGGGGAGAATGGCTTTTGATGCCTGTGGTAAGGAGGAAAAGTAACTGAGGAAATGGAGGACAGAAAGCAGAGCCAAGTCACAGTGAGCCCGTCAGGCCGGCCCCCAGAGAGATCGTGAACAGCAGAGTAGAGAGAGCAGCACCCGCCACCTGTGGTTACGTGATAGTGTGTAGTGCTGTGCTCACAACAGTGAGAACAAGGCTCCAGGCCTAAATGATACCTTCTCTTTACTCAATAGGGTAGAAGTCCTGTTTTCTTTTAGCAGTTTAGGATTGAAACAATTTTCTGTTTCTTTGTGTTTTTCAGATCTTAAATCCAAATTTCATCCAAGAAGGTGAGTTTAAAGTGGTAGAATTACAAAAGTGGCAATTGACTAAATTAAGGCAAACCCAGCACGGTTGTGGGGTCTGTCAACAGCAGTGACGGTTCTGTACTATGGACAAGGAAAGCTGTTGCTATAAACTGTTAGGGTGAGAAAGACCACAAATTGCAATATGTACAATGGGATCCAAGTTTTGTGCAAAAAAGGTGTGTTTATATAAAGCCTGAAGGACACGTGTATTAGATGTCAACAGTAGTACCTATGGGTTATGACAGCTTGCAGCATTTTCTTCACTTTGCTTATCTGTATTTCCTGAGTTTTCTGCAATAAACATTTATTGCTTTTAAAATACTTTTTAAAGGGACACAGATGACAACACATAAGCTAAAAGTTATCTGAGTTGTTACACCACACAGGTAGGCGATGACAGCAGTGTTACAAATGATGGTTTTCTTCTCAATTTGCTCTGAATGATGCAAATCTATGTTGATTTGACCACAGTGGCCCCAGAATTCCTTGTGCCCTTAGTGGATGTGACCTGCTTGCTTGGGGACACAGTGACACTGCAATGCAAAGTGTGTGGGCGGCCGAAGCCCGCCATCACCTGGAAGGGTCCAGACCAGAACATCCTGGACACTGACAATAGCTCAGCCACATACACCATCTCCTCCTGGTAAGCTGATCCCCCCATACCTCAGTGCAGCACCCAGTGGCTAGTCAGGGAGGCAGCTCCTATTTTTGTTTATTCAGTCTTTCCAGGGAAGAGCTTCCCTGGGGCCTATTCTAGGGCACACATTTAGCCTTGATTAGGAGAGAGATTGAATCAGAAAGCCTGGGTGACTTAGGACAGAGTGCTCACAGGACATAGTGCTGACAGGAAGCGTGCTGACAGGACAGCGTGCTCACAGGACAGTGTTCAGTGAACTTCAGATTCAGCCTCAGACCCTCACACTACAATCCCCACTCAGCCTGACAAACATCTGGGTCACTACCAGCACCTATTTCACGCGCTGCCCAGGGACCTGCAAGAATGGCTTGTAAAGAGTGCACTCTAGACACACTACACTAATAGAGGGAGGCATGACCCTACCTCTCAGGTCAGGCAGGAACTATACTTTCAAAGAGCTTTGACAAGCCCTGCCTGAGACTCACCTGCTTGATGATCTTTCCCTAACGATCCCCAGGAGAGTTGCTGTGTCAGGAAATAGCAAAGACTCCAACTTGCAGGGGAATGTGGCCCTCAGATTCAGACATTCTGGGCTTCTCTGTGCCCTGCAGGATCCTGTGAAACAGCCATACATTTAATTCCTCCATGAACCTGAGAACAGTGCTATTAGAAGGGAAAAAACTCGCTCCATAATGTACCCTCGAAAACAGAAAACTCAGTCACAAACATACTTCACACAAAAAGGCTATTTAACAAAACTCTGTTGGCGGCCTCTCAACCATATGTTAATATTTACTCTACGAATTCTGAACTTCTTTGTGTATCACTGCTTACAGTGGGTGAGCTGTAACAAGCCCTACATGTTTAAGAAACATTTATGGAAGAAACACCCAGAATCAAGAAACTTTCGCCCATTAACTTAATCTGTGTTCATGGGAAATAGTGTTCTCAGCAGAGTCCCTGGCTAGGTCCTATAATATCTGTGCACGGGGGAGCTAAATGTGAGGCGCAGTGCTTGGTGAGGGTGATGAGGGTCAGGAAGTGTCACAACTGGTGGGGAGGGAGCTGGACTTCTGCATTTAACCCTTTCAGCTACATTCCCTTGTGATGTCCCAGACCCCAGCTGGAACTATTGGGAAAGCCATCTTTCCTCGGGGGATGTACTGCTTACTTAATTCACTAAATTATTTTGAGGGCCCCACATTTAGTATTTAAAATACTTAAAAGTATTCATTCTTTAGTCTTTCCATTTCCTCAGACCATTTATTATAGCTTGTGTGATGGAAAATAGTTTAATTGCTAGGTGGTGATACCAGTAATATTGTGAGCTTGTATAGGATTTTATGTATTTCAAACCACCTTCTAATTCTTACCTCACTGGCTCCTTTAGTATCCCTTTTATTTACAACAAACCTGAGTGATAGGCATGGCAAGAAGTTCCTTCCTCTGTAAGGAATTGAGGGTATAGAGAGGCAAGTTGGTCATTCCCTGGTGTGTAGGAAGGAACAGAACTGGACTAGTCCTTGGGCCTCAGGACTCAGCTGGCACCCTGTGTGCCATGGCTTTGGGATTTTACCCACAAGCCAGTTGTCTCACTACTGGAGTTTGAAGACCATCCTTTTGGTGTTCCTAGTGATTCTGGGGAAATCACCCTGAAGATCTGCAATCTGATGCCCCAAGACAGTGGAATTTATACCTGCATAGCAACAAATGACCACGGGACCACATCAACATCTGCCACAGTTAAAGTGCAAGGTAAGGTCTTCTTGTTAGTCAAATATTTTTGTAAAACTTTTAAAAACTGTGATAAAATTCACATAATGTAAAATTTACCATTTTAACTAATGAACAATGTACAGTTCAAAAGTGTTCAGGGACCTCCCTGGTGGCACAGGGGTTAACACAGCACTATGAAGCCACTACAGCATGAGTTCGATCCCCGGCCTGGGAACAACACACTTGGCGCAGCAGACCTCTCCTGACTCGCCCGCTGCTCCCCTCAGCAGTGTATTTCAGTCAGTCTACCTGTTCTGTTCCCCACTCTGTCTCTGGTGAATCCTTTCACCCCCCACATCTCTGGCCTGCACCCCAGCTCTTGTATGCAGAAATAAATAAATCTTTAAAAAATAAAAAAAGGGGGCCTCCCCTGGTGGCGCAGCGGTTGAGCACTGGGCTGCGAAGCTGCCCGCAGCCTCTGCAGCACCAGTTCAATCCCTGGGCACCGGCGAGGGTCCCACATGGTGCGACAGACCTCTCCTGCTGCTCCCCTGCTCCCCTCAGCAATGTACTTCGTCAGTCTGCCTGTTCTGTTCCCCACTCTGGCTCTGGTGAATTCTCTCACCCTCCCGTGCTTGTGACTGTACCCAGTGCTTGCATAAATAAATAAATCTTTTTTAAAAATTTTAAAAAAAAAGTAAAAAGATATTCAGTATATTCATATTCTTGTGCAAGAATCTCAGGACACTTTTCATCTTGCAAAACTGAAACTCTGAACCCACTCAGTAACAAGCCCCCATTCCCACCTTCCCCACCCCGACCCGAGCCCCTAGCAACCCCGATCCTACCTTCTGTCTATGAATTTGTGTTAGTCAAACATTTTCAGTGGACATTACAAGGGTTCCCTGAGACCTGGGAAAGAAAAGTTCATTGTGAAAAATTCCAAAGTAAAGTTCTAAATCTTTGCCAAGAATTCTCTATGACACACCACGCTCCTCTGGCATTCTCCTACTTAACCTTCCCCCACTTTATCTCCAGTATTTAGCAGTGTTTAGCCCAAGGAAGAACTCTGGCCACTAGGTGTGACTCCCAGGTCACCCTCACGCCTGGAGAAAGGTATGCCCATTGGTGAAGAAGATCAAGGCAAAAATCTGAAACACAAGTCAGGTTGTGCTTCCGAAGTGGCATTCAAGCTTCCCGTAAAATACCAAGTTCTGCAGAAATAGCACTTGACCCTAATCTCTGTCCCCCCAGGAGTTCCAGCAGCCCCTAACCGCCCCATTGCGCAGGAAAGAAGCTGCTCCTCCGTGATTCTCCGCTGGCTGCCCCCGTCCAGCACAGGAAACTGCACTATTTCTGGTTACACCGTGGAGTACAGAGAGGAAGGTGGGCTTCTCCCCGCTCTTCTGTCTTCTCCTCCTTGCAAGAAATCCTTCAGAGTAATGAAACTATTTGCCTCTGTGCCTTTCATCAGCTGCTCCTTCTCATGTCTCCTCACATCCCCCCAAGGCCTCCATTCTGATCTGAAGTCACGTGGAGCGGTGATTCCACCAGGCGCTAGTGACGTAGGCATGTGCAGCGCACCTTTACAGGTGCTCCCCTACTTTACAAACTCAGTCATCAGCCACAGGGAGGACTGGCCCATTCTACAGGTGGGGAGGCTGAGACCTATGGAAAGTTAAACAACAAAAGGCCGCAGTTAATAAATGGAAGGCTGGCAGTAGAATTCAGAATCTAGTTTGCTAATTTGTGATCTTTCCCCCAAAGTAATAACTAAATCAGATCAGGACTGTGCCCTACAGACTCCCCCCCCCAAAAAAAATTAGAAATCTCAAAAAGATACACACCTACAGTAACTATCTAATGACTTTTCTGAATTATGGAACTGTAAGATTTGTTACATGTACCCATTAAGTGTGCACACATTTCTTTAACAGTTAGAAACTGAGCCAGAGACCCAGGTATCAAGGAGAATTAGGTAAAATAAGAGCTTCCAGGTAGTTCTAATTGTTAGCTACAACTCTGAACCATATGGTGGATTACACAACTGGCTTGATAACAACCAGTTTCATAACCAAAAGCACTTGTTTTACTCTATTTTCATTACTCTTATTATTTTAATTCTGTCTTGTATTAAACAGGCCTGTATAGTTGTACAGCTATTTATTTCTGCATCTGTCCTGAGTCATTCACTCTGTGTGTCCCTTCTCACCACAGAGGTATTCATGCTGAACTGGGAAGCGCCCTCCCCAAAGTTGATCTTTACCTTGGTGTTACTCATTTCCTAGTTCATTTAATTAATAATTCTCCTGAAAGAATTGTCTCATTTTTCCAGGCCTCAGTTTCTTTTTCTGTAAAGAGACTAATGTTCCCTACTGTTTGGGGTTTCTGCGAATATAGATGAGAAAGTTAAATGAGAGAATTATGAGAAGACAGCTTCCATATCAGTGTTTTACATTAACATATGTTAATTTCTGTTATTTCAATTTCCAAGTGTATATTTTCTCTTTTTGTCATTAACATAAATACATTCTTCTGACCTTATTAAAAATTTGCCACATGTTCCTCTGCAAATTTTGTGTGCTCCTGACTTTAACCCTCACATGCACACATTTGAACGTGGACAAAACCTATAGGCCAACTGTCCCTGAATCCCTCATGATACATTCAACTATTTAGGAAACTGAAGCTGAGCCTGCCACGGTTGACCACAGGCTTTCAGGGGTACCCCCCCATGCAGACCCCAACTGTCCCTTGAATGCAGTGTGTCATTTCTCTTTCTTTGTTTGCTGAAGGTCTTTGAAACAATGATCCCCTGTCATTTTCTCTTTCCTTCTTGGAAACTGTGCGCTAGGCTCCCAGGCCTGGCAGCAGTCTGTAGCTTCGACCTTGGACACTTATCTCGTCATTGAAGACCTCAGTCCTGGGAGCCCTTATCAGTTCAGGGTCAGTGCCAGTAACCCCTGGGGGATCAGCCTTCCCAGCGAGCCTTCAGAGTTTGTGCGGCTTCCAGAGTACGGTGAGTCCCAGCCATGCCCAGCCCCCAGGCAGGGGAGGCCAGGCAGCGGGCCAGCTGTCACATGCTTACTGGCCCTGGCTCTCGTGGGCATATGTTGGGCCCTCATGCAAGAAGGGCCCTAAATTTGCTTGGCAGCTTTAGTCAAGTAACTTCTCAGAACCCTGATGAAGAGTGTTTCCATAAAAAGTGACTTCAAGAGCCTTTGGTTGAACTTAGATCTGCCACCCAGCCTACCCCTGCAGGTTCCTGGCACCTGGTGTGTCTCTGGAACAGAAGCGGTGGCCAAAGTCAGGAGTCTCATGGATGCTATCTGCCCCTCTTCTGAGATGCAAACCCCAAGCCTCCTTTCTCCTGGGCACCCCTGCTAGGCACAAGTGTACCCCTCAACATTAGGGACAACCCCACTCACCAATTTAAAATGGAATGGAGAAAGCAACGTGGCTGGAGGATTTCATTGCATGATGAACATTGTATCGTGTCCCCATCCCCAACCCTCCCAACATCTTTTTTTTAATGCGGGTACATATGTAGATATATTGAGAAGTTAGCTAACATATACCTATAACTGGCTACAAATGAGTATTTTACAAACACAGTTTGTATTTTGCCCATCTATTCACTATCTCACCAAACCACCTTGGTCCCAGGGACACTTTGAAAGAGAAAATCTGTTAAAAGAAATCTCTAATTAATGAGGATTTTAGCACTGGGTAGAATAGACTGTGTGTTGGGCAGGAGAAGAAGTCACTGTGCTGAAAAGGCAATAAATCTGTGTCTCAGGTTAAGGGAATCCGGATTTGGTGACTCAGTGCCCTCCAGGGTCTGGGCCACAGTCCTGCCTGCAGCTGAATCCAGAAATGCACCCCAGCCCCATCAGCTGTGCCCACCCAGCCCTGTAGTCCGCTTTGCTCCCACAGGTTTGTGACTCATTGGAAAACCTTGGCCCTGGGCCTGTGTTTCCTTGGAATCAATAAGCCAACGTGCTCAGCCTCAGCCGCCTGCGCTCTGGGAAGCCTGAGGTGACCGGTGACCGGGGGAGCAGGGCTGAACTGCTGGCTTGGCCCCTCCCCGCCAAGTCACTAATTAAACCCTGCCCACGATGGCCACTGCCCACGTTTTGCTTCTTGTGAGCCTTAGTCTCTGGTGAACAACATAAATAGATACTGAGTACTATTTGTACTTGCATGAATGTGTGTGAGGGCAAATCATTGCCAGGGAATTAACACTTTCAAGGTAAGGCTACCAAAGATTCTGTCTACTCAGGCATGTACTTTGGGACAAGTTACATCATTCATTATGCCATTAAGCTCATTAAGCCCGAGACAGTGGAGATGAGAAAGAGCAGTATTTAAGCTGCACATTCCTTTCTTCTGTCTTTGGTTTTGAAAATCTGCCCTATCCTCTCTGCTGCATCTTCCCTACATTCTCACTGGCCTTCCCAGGCCTCCAAAGTACTTTTCCCTTAACATTTTTTAAGGGAGAAAATTTTTCCCTTTTAATTTTTTTTTTACTAAGTTTCTATTTTAAAATATCTAGAAACTGTGTTTCTGATTGCCCTCAGTTTTCTCTTTGTTTACATAGATGGCACAGGGAGTCTGACCCTGTCATGTCAGTTTCTCCTTGGATGATATTTTTAAAAATAACATTTCAGAGGATCATGACATTTTCCCACTGAGTTGGCCCCATATTTAGTCACAGGAATTGCTTTGGGGCAATGTTTGAATTTTTCTGTTAAGCTTTTCTTTATATGATATTTCTCAATATAAAAATAATGGAGTTTCTCTCTTCCAAAGATGCTGCTGCTGATGGTGCCACCATTTCTTGGAAAGAAAATTTTGATTCAGCTTACACTGAGCTGAATGAAATTGGAAGGTAATGACACATTTTTTTACTCGTTGGCCCATGACTATTTAACAACATTATCTCAGAACAATGACATGTTCCTGATGTTTCTTTTATTAAGTGTGTTTTCTATATAGAAAGGAAAGAAAAGAGAAGGTTGGTATGTATTTTCTATTTTTCTCTATCTTCTTAAGTTTGATGTTTCATGCATTGATTCTTATTTTCTAACAAAAGAATGTAAGGCTCAGCCTTTTCTTCAAAGGACAATTTTGGCTACATCGCCTGAGTTCTGACATGTGGCATTTTCATTTTCATTCAGTTTTAAGTGTTTTTCCTTCAACTGTGATTTTTTTTTCTTAGGCCCAGTTATAATAGAAATATGTTGAAGGATCTCCAAATATATGAGATTTTTAAAAAATTATCTTTTTGTTACCAATTTCAAACTTAGCTGCATTGTGGCTGGAGGACTTGGTCTATATGATGTTGATTCCTTGATTTTTATTGGGTAATACATGGATTTTTATGAGTAATACATGGTGAATTTTTATTTAAAAAATTCCATGTATCCTTGAGAAGGATGTATAACAACAATTTGTTTAGTACAAGTCTCTTGTATGTGTCCAAGCATATTGTATATGAGTATTTCTAATCCAAATTCTCTCTCTCTCTCTCTCTCTCTCTCTCACACACACACACACACACACACACATACACACACACACACTGCATTTTAGACAGAAAAGTGTGTGCTCAAAAATAAAAAGGATTAAAAACATGAATTTTAACAAAATGATGAATAAATCTATGAGTTATCTTATAAAATACTTGGTGGAAAGGAGCAAAAGGAGGTCATCCTGTGTGTACCATAGTCTGCAGGTGGTGTAAGTGAGGAAAGCGGGCAGATCTAACAAGTCACCCACTCACCCTGGCTGTGAGAATAAATTAGCTCCCGCTAACAATGGGTCATTAACGTCACCTCTGCCTGTGAGTGACCTCTCTCAATGAAACAGAAAACCTCCTACAAACACAACACCACATGTCTGTGGCTGGGGGTTGCTGGACAGAATTAAAGCCCCAAAAAGAGAAAAGAAATGGAAAAGTAGCAAGAAATCTTTAGCTCTTCTTTCCTATCTTCTTTATGTAGCCAGAGATTAAAAAAAAAAAAAAAAAGTCCAGTGGAAGTTTAGGTGATGATGATGATGCTGATGCTGGTGAGTGCCCACAGTGTACCAGATACTATGCAAATATGGTACAAGTCATTTAAGCTAATCCTTACAACACTATGAGGTAGTATTTGAGTAGATTTCCAGTAAAGGAAATAGACTCTAGGGGGTGGGAGTAAGGAAATTTCTCCAGGTCTTACCACCAGAAAAATATAGAGCCAGGATTCAAACCCTGGCTGCCTGACTCTAAGGCTGTGATAGTTTTACTAGTTTATGTTGTTTCTCATCAGACCATTTTTTGTTGAATATAAGATCTATTAATTGAAGTAGTTTGGCCCATACTGTTGAAGTTTGTGAAGCTAAATATCATCCCAGTAATCAAATCCCCACCTAGTTCTAAATGAAACTGGATCCGTCATCTAGATGCATCAATGAATTCCTTCCTAAGACCCGCATTTGCTGTTAATAGCCACAGGCTAAGGCATGTTTTACCCAGAAGAAATAGATGTTTTGATATTTCTCAAAAGAAAGAGAGAATTTTTGACACATTCAAGATAATGAGTATTTTTTAAATAATCTCATCTCCAACAAGCTGAAATATTCCCTCTCTCCCAAGAACAGTCCTCATAGTCTCAGAAGATCCTTCTAAAATTGTGTATGTTAACAGAATATAAATGAATTATATAAATACTTACATGAGACAAATGAACAATAACTGCACCATAGCCATAGAAGGCTTTCTCCATCATACCCAGCCTAGAATTCTATTCCTATATGATTATCTTGTTAAAAATAGCTTGCCAGTAATTAAATATTATAAACACCATGGTGCAAAAAGAACTATCTTCCTTCCAAAAGCCTCTCATAGAAGCAAAGAGGACTTGAGCATGGCAACTTAAGCAAAAACAACAGCTTAAATATGTCAAAGAGTTATCCCAGGATACCTCAACAGGATCCCAAAAGGTAGCAGTGTCAGGCCTCTGGGTAAAGATGGCAGGTTGAATCCAGGCCTCTAATTTTACTCGCTCCTGGAACGTCACTAAATGGACAGTAAAGGGATTTTTTTGAAGCAAGCGCATAAGAATGAGGACATTGGAAGAAGAAACCACACCAATAAAACATTAAATAGAAAAACAGATGAAAGCATGACAAGTGACCTAGGAGATTGGGGAAAACTCAGCCCAAGTTAGTCATGGGGTCAGGGGAGACCCAATGTAACATTAACAGCAGACTTCCCCAGAGGCACAGACAGCATCAAGTACCTCTGGAAACAGGTGTAAAGAGAATTCTAAAATTAAAAAGACTGGCTGAGCTCTATGTGCAAAATTGTAGCTCCAGATCTCCCAGCCGCAGGCAGAAGTGTTATCTCTCCGCCTAGGACAAGATGGGAGGTCTATTGTCTGTAAAGGATAAAACAGGTGACTCTGGTCCTTGCAATACTAGCACAGTTGAGGGAGGCCCAACCCACCCCCAAATGGGGGCATCCTGAGAATAAATACATGAGGATACTCAGGTACACACTCTCTTCTCCACCAGGCCTCCAAAAGTAGAGGGCCAGGGCTTCATTCTCTGGGCAGAAAGTAGGAGCTTCCTTTTATGGAGAATCTAAGGAAAGGCGAAGATACTAACTTAGTTATTTTCCTAACTAAACAGTACAGTCAGGTCACCCCGTGGTGAAGGTCAAGTTGACAGGCTCCACCCACGCTCTCAGAGCTTCCAAACAGTTTTTTAGTTTCCAACTTTTAAAAGGAGTCAGTTTCTCACAGAAAAGAAATAATTCCATAATGTGATAGAGATACTCTTGCTACAATATCAGTCATTATTTAATGTGCAAATGTATCAAATCAAGATGTCTTATACCTTAAATTTATATAATGCTACATGTCAAATATATTTCAATGAAAAAATAAATAAGATAAAAGGAGCCATTTTCATGCCAGCCCAGATGGAGTAAGCCCTTTGTAGCCTTTATCTCCCACTAATTACAAATGGAATCCTTGGACAAAATGCAAAAGCAACTATCCGAGGATTCTGAAGTAACAGAGATGGGGGAGGGAAGTCAAAACATGAGGAAAGACAAGGAGAGTACAGTGGTGTGAGGTTTCTGGGTTGCTTTTAATTTTTTTTTCTTTTATTTCCTGGGTTTGACCCGGGAGTAGACCAAATCAGGGATCTGTGTGCAGGAAGCTAAAACATCTTCCTGACCAAAAAAGGGCACTTGTGGGAGTCAAGGAACGTGGAGGAAATATCAGTGAGGTATGAGCTAAGCAAAAGACCCCTAACTCTGTGCATGAAACAACACAAATTCTGGGTCATTTCCAAGCTGTACATATTTAGAAGATACCTAAAGAAGCACAGCAAGGCTTCTGAGAACTGATTTACAGTGTGAAAAAAATAATATTGAAAAGTCATATAATCAATAATAAAAAACAGTCCAATTAATAAATGGCAACAGATATAAACAGTTCACCAAAGAGGATATCCAGAAGGCTTAAAGCCATAAAAAAAAGTTCATCATCGCTTCTATTAAAACTACAATAAGATACCACCTCAGTCTTCTGAGAAGGATACACATTAAAGAGACCCGCAACAACAAGAGCTAGAAAGGATGCAGAGTGAAAAGGACCCTATTACACTGTTGGTGGGAATGTGAACTGGTACAAACATTATGGAAAACAATCTGGATTTACCTTAAAAAACTAAAAATGGAAATACTGTCCAACCCAGCAATCCACTCTTGGGCACCTATCCAGAGAATATGAAACCACCAACACAAGTCCCACATGTTCCACAATGTTCATTGTAGTTTTATTTTTGTTAGCTAGCACATGGAAGCAGCCTAAATGTCCATCCATGGACCACTGGATCAAGACAACGTTGTATACCCACACAATGGACTATTATATAACCATAATAAAGAATAAAATACAGCCATTTTCAACAAAATGGAGGGAATTTGAGAGAACTATGTGCAGCAAAGTCAGTCAGAATGATAAAAAATACTAAACACTTACAATAACAGACAATTAGATGCTATAAAACACTTTCAAAAACCAATGGACATTGGGGCCTTCCTGGTGGCGCAGCGGTTGAGCGCTGGGTTGCGAAGCTGCCCGCGGTCTCTGCAGCACTGGTTCGATCCCCGGCTGCTCCCCGGGCACCGCAGAGGAGGGTCCCACATGGCACGCAGACCTCTCCTGCCGCCCGCTGCTCCCCTCAGCAGTGTACTTCGGTCCTTCTGCCTGCTCTGGCTCTGGTGAATTATCTCACCCTCCTGTGCTTCTGACTGTACCCAGTGCTTGTATAAATAAATAAAAATAAATCTTTTATTAAAAAAAAACCACCAATGGACATCAATTAACAGCCTGAGGGCTCTGAGTTTAACAGGGAGGGGGTAAGGAAAGGGACAGGGACATAGAGGGGTGGGTGTTGGAGAAACAATGTATTCACTTAAGAGAAAAATAGTTATAAATGTGTTGCATTGGGCAACTAAACAGTGGACAAAGATGTGGGAGACTCGGTGGCACAGCGGTTGAGCGCTGCGTTGTGAAGCTGCCCGCAGCCTCTGCAGCGACGGTTCGATCCCCGGCTGCTCCCCGGCCACCAGAGGAGGGTCCCACATGGCGCGCAGACCTCTCCTGCCGCCCGCTGCTCCCCTCAGCAGTGTACTTCGGTCCTTCTGCCTGCTCTGCTGCCCTCTCTAGATCTGGTGAATTCTCTCACCCTCTCATGCTTCTGACTGTACCCAGTGCTTGTATAAATAAATAAATGAATCTTTAAAAAAAAGAAAAGAAAAAAAATGTGGGAGGCGTGGAGCAGGCCACAAAATGCAGGATGCTGCTTGAGAGCAAAATCCTGGCCGTTTTTATTGCTAGAACAATCATACAGCATCAGCTATGTGCATTAGAAGGACAAGGAGAAAAGGATGGTGAAACTCAGGAATGTCATCTAGGGCTTGGGGGGACATGAGTCTGCGGACCATGTTATCAGCCTGATGACCAAGTTGTGATCGAAACTGGACCCCAGACCCCTGGCCATGGTCCTAATCTTATCAACAAGGCATTCCACTCATCAGCTTCTGGGGCCCCTTGTCATACATCAGTCCTCGGCCCCCTGGGCGCGACCGTCATACCTCGTGATGCGCACCCTTCCCGGAATGAGCAACCTTTCTGCTCTTGGTTGATTTGAAAGGCACCTTGTAAGGTTTGGCTCATATGACTGATTGACTGGGCGGTTGTGACCTTGTATAGGAAGGCAGCCCTGCAGGTAACCATAATGGTGGCTGAACAGGCCGCTTAAGTCTAGCAGACCCACATGAATGAATTTTTCAGACCTAGAATTATACCCTCCCTTTTCTCGGCTCCCACTGCTGGCCATTCTGCCTTTGACTTCACTTTCTTCTCCCTCCCGCAAGCCACGGCTGAGTGGGAGACCCCTTCTCTCTATTCTAGGTGTGCTAAATTTTGTTAGCGGTAAAAATGCCATGGCAGTTGTGTATTTTTAAATGTTAGAGATGCAAGATGAAATATTTGTGAGTGAAATAACATGAAGTCTGCTTAAATACTCTAGAGAAAGAAAAGAATGGAAGAGGGGGGTGTTGGGAAAGGAATAAATGACATAAGGTTAGCAAAAGATTGTAGTCTTAGGAGCTGCATAGAGGATTGATTAGATCTATTATGATTATTCTCTCTACCTCTGTGTAATTTAGAAATTTTCCATGTGAGAAAGATAATCAATGTAAAATAAAAATTAAAAGTCACCTTTTTAAAAATGTTTTTGAAATTAGGATTCTTCCTTCTTCAATATGGTTGCTATTGTTAAATTTTACAGAAATATACTCTGCTTAGAAAAAAAACTGAAACTGTGTTTAATGTCAAAGATGACAGGGAAATGAAATGGACTTAAAATGATATTGGTTAGCTTTTTGCTTCTTAAAGAGCTGTAAGATGCTCAGGAAGGAAATATGGCTTTTCTAAATATTATAATAAAATACAGGAAAGCAGGGTTCCTAATGAAATGTTCTTGACTGGCAACTTCAGATAAAACTTTCATCCTTGAGAGAAATGAACCTAGTCGCTTGCTGTATCTTGGTAAAACGCTTTCTCCCTATTGTTTTCCAGAGGCCGCTTCTCCATCGTAAAGAAGTGCATTCACAAAGCCACCCGCAAAGATGTCGCTGTGAAATTCGTTAGCAAAAAAATGAAGAAAAAAGAGCAGGCTGCCCACGAGGCTGCCCTACTTCAGCACCTGCAGCACCCCCAATACATCACTCTCCATGACACCTACGAATCGCCCACATCTTACATCCTGATTTTGGAGCTGTAAGTACAGGTGCCATCTCTCTATGGTGATCCCCAGTTATTTGAGTTATTTGTTACCGACAATTAATGGAAGAGGCAATTACATTTTATAGTGTTATATGAAGCATGAACTTTCCCCTCCATTTTACATAAATACTTTTCCCATTTTATTGATTAGAGAATAAAGACTTTATCAAGGATAGGAACACATAGGAACACATCGAGGATAAAGTCCTTAAAACTAGGAAATGGAGAAACTGGGACTTGAACCCACCTCTCTCACTCTGATTTTCCTTTTCCTTCTATTGGATTGGACAGGAGTCCAGGGAGGTCATTGACAATGAACTTATTGACAGGGGTGAAACTGAGTGAAAGACAGAGGTTGGCACATCCATCCGCTGCATAGCATCACCAATCTACCACCCCAAAAGTCCCTTCTAGGCTGAAGCCTTACCTTCATTCCACTCATTCCATATTTTTCTAGGGACTCAGACAGCCATATACTTGGGACTATATACTTGTCCCAAGAATACAGGGGTAAAGTCACATTCTCCCCCCCAACTAAGACCCCAAGCTAAAAATAGAGGTTATGCTCTAAGATTTACTTAGAGATCTGACAGAGGCTAAAAAGAACAGTCTTTTCAGAAGTACTGAGCCCTCATGGAAATGCTATCTGACTGGTGCTGGTGAGGCCCTGCACCTGGAGAGAAGACAGACATTGGAACCGAAACCCAATGAAGCGATGGCTCCATGTGGACCCATGGACACCTCTTGCCTTTTGTCTGTTATGTTTGTCTTACTCCTGTGTGCTTGTCAAAGTGTGTGCATATGTAGAGCTTTGAAGGAATGACATATCATGAAGTTACTTATGATGGAAAAAAGAAACCCAATGCAAACATCTCTGGTTAGACTTTCAAAGTGGTGGAAAAGAAATAGAGGGTAACAAAACCAGCAGTTAGTATTTGTAATTCTTCTGCAAGACTAAATTTGGTACAGTTGTGCAGTAGCTGATAGACAGTCATTTTTAGACTTAGTGAACATAATTACAGACAACTTTCTGAGCATAACCTGTTTGTTGGGGCCTTTCTAACTCAAAAGGCATATCCTGTTAACAGTGACCTAGCTTTGTCTATGAGTGATGTTATGCATGAGTTCCAATAGAAGGTGTTGTTACTTGCATTCCAAGATGGTAAAACGGACTCAGAATCTTTGCTCTTTCAGACTTGCCTGCTACCGTTCTGAGGGAAGGTATTAATTTCTAGGCTGCCATAGTGCAATGGGAAGAAAGCATTCTTAGAAAGAAGAATCTGGCTTTTGTCCCAGCTCTGTCATTTGAAACAGTATAAATTAGTTTTCTGGGATTTTGGGCCTTCGTCTGTGAAGCTTGAAAAAATTATTCCCATTTCTCAGGGATGTTACATGGGTTAGATTAGATAAATATTGGATTGAACTAGTTTATTGTGCACTCAGCATGTGCTAGACCTGAGTAAGGGTGGGAAGAACAAAGATGAAAACATGTAATTCTTGCCCTTGAGGAGATATTAGTTTAATGAGGAAGATAAGTGAGTGATTTCAATATAGCATGGTAAGTGCTAAGGGAAAATGCCTATTTTGGAGAGAGCAGCTTTGACAACATAGAAAGTTGCTGCATTTGGACTTGAGGTTCACTAAAGATTTATGGAGAAGCCGTGCCCAAGATAAACCGTGTGACTCCAGACTGCGTCATGTGATGGGTCTCCCCTTTGGTGACCCACAGAATCACTATTAGAGCTTTTCTCTACAGACAAATGAGGCCCTGATCCCCTAGTTTAGGTTGGATCCTGGCCTTATGGGTAATCAAAACTATCTAAGGGTGAGCTTGGTGGCTGAGACTCTTGGGTCTTGGAGAGGTGCTACTGTTAATTTCTCCCTATTTGTTCCAAGAAGTTCAGGGTGGGGTTCATCTAAGACCCCATTCTCTTCTCTACTCTATGCTCACCATAGAGTAAGAAGGACGGAAAAGAAGTCTTTCTTTACTCTGGTCATGGAAAACAGAAGATACAGTGGAACGGAGCAAGCTAGAGAAGAGAATGGAAACTTGGCCATGAGAGTTTCAGCTATACTTGAGTTTTCTGACTCAGGTTCCAACTCCTCTGCCTGAGCATTACTTAATAAATAATAAATAACCCATTGCACATTAGAGAATGTGCCTGACGTCTGGTCACCCCTTGCTGAAGAGGGCACAGAGTAACTAAAAGAAGTTGCCAGTTATGAGCTTTTACTATTGCAACCAAATTATGCTGAAGTGCTTCCTTATCATACTTGAGACTTGCACAATCCTCATAATGTTGCTGCTGTTAGTCCCTCCTCAAAGAGGAAAAAACTGAAACACCAAGAGTTTGTCTTGTCCCAACCACCTCTCCCCCTCACCACCACCTCACCCTCCTGCCTGTAAATGGCAGAACCAGGATTCAAAACCACAACCCGGCTCCTTGTACCATGTACTTACTTAGTGAGTCTTTAAGGCAAAGACTTAAAAAGAGGGTTATGAATGTTGAGGACATACTTTGCTTTCTATTTTTCCCCAACTAAAAGCTGACAAATGAAAACAGCTTCTAAAACATCCCTAGGCTTTCTTGCAGCCACTGGGTCTAAGTTAATCAAAACATTGCTGCTCTCTCTTTCTGATTGAAGACTTTCTCAGTTTTTTTTTTTTAAGATTTATTTATTTATACAAGCACTGGGTACAGTCAGAAGCATGGGAGGGTGAGAGAATTTACCAGAACCAGAGCGGGGAACAGAACAGGCAGAACGACGAAATACACTGCTGAGGGGAGCAGCGGGTGCGGCAGGAGAGGTCTGTCGCGCCATGTGGGACCCTCTCTGGTGCCGGGGATCGAACGGCACTGCAGAGGCTGCAGGCAGCTTCGCAGCCCAGCGCTCAACTGCTGCGCCACCAGGGGAGGCTCAAGACTTTCTCAGTTTTGCAATTTAACTTCTTACAGGGTCCCAGAACTTTTCCCTTGTGAGTAATTTCACCAGTTAACAAAATAGCATGTGTCTTATAAGATTATACAATTTTCTCTGAGAAGTGTAGCACATTGTAAATTTATTTATTTCAGTCATGAGCATCATACTAAACTTGAACTCTAATTCTGACATGCCTGTGTCATGACACTGATCTTTAGCAATAATAGAGACGAGGAGAGAGCACAGAGATCTTACAGATTTACACATCGTTTTTTTCTGTTCCCTCACAAAAATATCTCCTTTTCCTTTTCCTTCCACCTTCAGGATGGATGATGGCCGGCTCTTAGACTATCTTATGAACCACGATGAGCTGATGGAAGAGAAAGTAGCCTTCTACATTCGAGATGTCATGGAAGCGCTGCAGTACCTGCACAACTGCAGGGTCGCACACCTGGACATAAAGGTAACAAGGAGGGCCACCCTGGCGGCCTAGGGGTTAAGTCTCAGCACTATCACCACTATAGCCTGAGTTGAATCCTTGGCCAAGGGGCTGACCCATATAGCACAGCAGCCCTCTCCTATCTCGCCCACTGCTCTCCTTAGCAGTGTATTTCAGTAGATCCACCTGTACTACCCCCCTCTCTGTTTCTAGTGAATCCTCTCACCCCCTGTAGCTCTGGCCTACACCCCAGTTCTTCTATGCAAAAATAAATATAAATAATTTTTTTTTAAAAAAGTTAACAAGCTATGGCAGGGAAACAGCTTAGTGCCCCCCTGCCAGTCATTACCCTTGAGGGGAGTAAATTCATCTTATTTACTTAAGTTAAAATCCTAGTGAATATTAAACTAGCTTGTCACACACTTTAAGTGTGTCTGTTGTGAATTAATGACAATACACTGAATCACAGTGACATCTAGGGGGAGAGAGGGCAGGGGAGCTGTAACTACTTAGTATAACTTTATAGAAGGAAGCCAATAATGTCACCTTTTTACTCATGGTGCTCAAATAAAATGAAAATGTCAGTATTTGCTTGATTCTATGTGAGAGTGAGGGGTCGTTAAGAAGACGTGATTTTCAACGTCAAGTGAACTCTGAAGTCCACCTAAATTCAGAGTTTGTTTGGTTAAAAGCCTCCAAAGCACTTTGCATAAGGAATTTCAAAGAATATCAGGGCTATGTTTGAACTAAGGGAGTCCTGCTGGTAGGCAGGAAAGAGCTGAACATCCCCTCTCTTCTTTCCACCTCCCTTGGTTTTTGCAGCCTGAAAATCTACTCATTGACCTAAGGATTCCAGTGCCTCGAGTGAAGCTCATCGACTTGGAGGATGCTGTCCAGATCTCAGGCCACTTCCACATCCACCACCTGCTGGGGAACCCAGAGTTTGCTGCCCCAGAAGTGATCCAAGGCATTCCTGTTTCCCTGGGCACCGATATTTGGAGCATTGGGGTCCTGACATATGTCATGCTGAGTGGGGTCTCTCCCTTCTTGGATGAGAGCAAAGAGGAGACGTGTATCAACGTGTGCAGGGTGGACTTCAGCTTCCCACATGAGTACTTCTGTGGTGTGAGCAACGCTGCCAGAGATTTCATCAATGTGATCTTACAGGAAGACTTTCGGCGGCGGCCCACGGCAGCCACCTGCCTGCAGCATCCCTGGCTGCAGCCCCACAATGGCAGCTACTCCAAGATCCCCCTGGACACCTCCCGCCTGGCATGCTTCATAGAGCGCCGCAAGCACCAGAATGACGTGCGCCCCGTCCCCAACGTCAAGAGCTACATCGTCAACCGGGTCAACCAAGGGACGTAGCCCGGCTCCCGGCCTGGAGGTTTCACATGGAAGTGCAGTGTGAACCAAAGCAAGACTGAATGTGTCTGTAAATAATCTGTTAATTATTCCACTCCATGCGGTTTTCTGGATTGGGAGATGTACCTCTTAAACCTCGTCAGTGGCTATTCAGGGTCTGAGCAGCAGTAAAATCACCGGAAATCCAGGGCCTTACCAGAAGGTCATTCAGAAGAGATAAAGCGGCAAAGAGTCACAGAGTATAAGAAGAGGGGCAAGGATAACGAGAATATTTGCTGTTCCAAAATTTTGCTTGTGCATTCCAAAATGAGTGGGCAACATGGGCAAAATGAGCTCACCATAGGGAGTATCAAAGGTTTCTGCCTTTGCTAAAATTTTAAGCAAAAAAAAGTTCTATTTAACAGAGATGTCATGTATGTCCACTACGCTGGTTTAGATTACTTAGATATAGTTTCTTAATAGCATACATATTCTCATACAGTTAAATATTACCCATTCAGGTTTCAGAGTTTTATAATATAGAGATATATATGAAATCAAGCATAAGTAACTTTGAGTGCTCCAGTTAAGACAGTAATTTATTTACCGAAGCATTACTTTGTTTTGACTAAGCACAATTAGATGACAACTTTTTTAGAGCATTTTATAAATCTTGTATAGAAATCTTTTACCAGAACCTGTGCATTAACAGAAAGCAAGGTCACCTTTTTGCAATCTGTGAGGAAGATGATTTTTCTCTCAGTCACAGGTGTGATTAACATAGGTTCTGTGTATGAAATGCTACCCCCAAATTCACTGGCAGCTCAGAGTTAGTCTGGCAGGAAAACCTGCCAGGAAATAAGTCCCCAAACAGGAAGGGTTGTGGGGCTATTTTTCTGTCTACACTTGGTTTGAAATATATAATGAATATAACAGGTTCATACAAAAGGGCCAATAGAAAACTTCCCTGAAGTTCCTATGAACAACATAACAACACTTTCTGATTTCTTCTACAGCTGTAGAATGCACTCCTCAGAAAGTTGGCTTGCTTTATTTTTAACCCCTGTAGGAGCCAAGGGGTGCTTACCAAAAGGAGGCAGCCATAGAGGCCTTGTAAAGGCCTGGTCCCAAGTCCTTTTTAAAGCCATGGAATAAAATCTGATACATCACTCTGACAGAGCATTGAGTTTTCACTGCGATGGCAATACCTATCACCGCTCAGCTGTCAATATTTCCCTGGACCAAAAGGACTAATTGCGCTTTGAGGCCAACACTGCGCTCCAGTGTACGTTCTCCAGACAAGATGATTATGAACCGCCCTTTTTTCCATTGATGGGGAAAAAAACTAAACCTGGGAATTTCATGATTTCCTTTTTATGTTTCAGGAAGAGTTTTTGTTTCTGTGTTTATACACGCCCACCCTTTGTTTCCTAGAGTATGTTTTGAAAATTGCTGTTATGCAAGTAGTATTTTAAAAATTATAACTCAAGTGTTCGTCTACATCAGGTTTAATGGCATTGCTTCTGTCCTATAGTAGGATTGAGATAGTTAAAATCATGCAGCAGAAAATTACAATCAGAGTTTAGGAAGGATAAATAGAAGTATAAACTATCTAAATAAAAAAGAATGGTGGAAAAGCCTGAACCTTAATATGTAACTTATTCCCACAGTGGAAATGTAGAATTAAAAATGCCTATCTTTCTTTTCCATTGGCCTCAGAGTTAACTTCCTCATCCACACTCCACCTCATCCCATCCAAGATTATAGATTAATAAACCAGTAGAAAGTACAAGCAATAAGACTAGATAGAACTTCATATTTTCAGGATTAACCAAATCTATGGAAAATGACTCAAACTATTATCTGTTTCCTAATTTTCAAATGACCCTGGGTCATCAAGGCTCACTTCCTCAGCCCTCTCTCGACTAACCTTCCATGCTCTTCATTTAAACTTATGTGTATATATAAATAGTATAGGATACAATAATGTAAATTTTAAAACATATTTACTAAAAACACTTTTAGTAAACATGTCTTCATTATGAGAGACAGCATAACAGAAGAAAGCCTGGTCGCTTTCCAAGGATTCCCAATGTCCGCCACTGTGACTTGGCTAGTTCTGTGGCATCCGCTGTGGCTGATGACTGAAAATCCCCTGCTGAGGCATTTCGAGTTGTTGCGGCCATGTTGGAGACAAGCTGACTTTCTGCTTGAGAGGAGGAGAGTCTAGGACAACGGCCATAGGTTACACAAGGGGGCGTTGTTGAAATCCTGTTGTGGGGAAGACAATTGATAGGTTAGAGCCAAAGCTTTTATATCACCTTTGAATCAAAGTTGAAATGGTTCAGACATGAGGTTGCATGGAATCCCACACCCCAAATACATGTATTGGGGAAGTGAGGAGACAGGAGCCAAGAGAGGAGGGACATAGAAGTGAAAAGTAGTATGATTCTCTTAACTGGAGCCAAAGTACAATCATTAGAGTAGAATGAATTTAATAGAGGCCCCAAGAGAAAGGGGGTATATTTTATATAGTTTGAAAACTGAAGAAAATTAATAGGGAGGCTCCCTATCTGCAAAACCCCTGGTCCCTCCCAACAGGGAAAAGATAGTGGTCCCAATTCAAAAAAATGGGCACAGCAAGTTGGAAATAACAAGGAACCCTAGAAGATGAGACTGGAAAATGTATTTTAAGTTGCTCTGCAGGCAAACTTAGGAAGGAATGAAAAATCAGGGACCACTTTCTAATAGCTGTTTTGGCAAAAATATTTATACTTGGTAGTAGGGAAGAGAAGATAGTCCACTTCTACTATAATTAAGGTAGTTCTTGAAGTCAAGACTTAACTAGAAATTAGTGAGAGAAAACCTCCAATCGGAATGAGAAAAATAAATGTTGGCTAAAGTCACAAGTTGCTTTCTTGGCTTATACTCATTGCAGTGGGTTTTGGGTTTTGTTTTGTTTTGTTTTGTTTTGTAAGGGTAGGATGCAGAAAGATGGAAAAGATCAGGGACAACCCATAATAATTTTAAAAGGTATAACAATTTACTGCATCTTTTTCATTTATTTCAGATTAAATAGATTTATATCTGCTTGCATCTGAATATGGGAACATTTTTAAGAAAAAAAAATACAACATTGGGGGCACCGTTAGGTCTCTCACAGCCATAAACACCCTTGGGAGAGTAGAGGAGGCAGTAGAGGAAAGCTGGCTTCACCGCTTTGTGGTTCACAAAGACTTTATAAATAGTAGTGCCTTTCAGAGGGGAGGATGGGAGATAAAGAAGTTCATTGTATTTAGATTTACTGATATTACAGCATTTTTCTTTATTTTTAAATATCTTTTAAATAAAAACATCTGAATATAGGGTGAGCCCAGGAATTCTTGAGTTTCAACCTCAGCTATTCCTATTCGTCCTTTCTTACAGAAAGTCTGTTTTTTCCTGCCCCAAATGCCCCCATTGGTAAAATGGGTATTGGGGGGGGAAGGAGGGAGGATATTCATGTCATAGGGAATGTTGGGAAAATACTTTAGTAGGAAATGCTTAGGAAATACTTTGATTTTTAAAAAGTGCTACACACTGCCAGTGCTAAGAATTTTATTGATGGTAACTTTGAACATTCCAAGTTTTCAATATTCATGTCTTTAGATACCATTTGCAAACTCATAAGATTAAATTCTGTAAATTGATTTTAATTGGAAGTACGAGGTGCTCTTTGTCTAAATGTTATTTGGTCTTAACCTGTAATTTCAGTCATTTAAAAGCTTGTCTACAGGAAAAGGTTAGGAGAGTTGATGAAGTCTTATGTCAAAAAAAGACTGTTTTCTCCAGTATTTCTTAGGGCAGACGCAGAGTAAGATGCCTTCCAAAGCAACAGTTACTTTTTCTTTTCAAACTTTATGTGCTGGAAAAATTGATGAAAAACCCAAACAGACACTTTTCTCATTGGGAAAACAGAAGTGAAAATAAAAGGTTTTCTGACACTACAATTCTTTTCTGCAGAGTGTCACAAGCATCTATAGAAGAGGCAAATCAAAGGTCTAAAAATTAGTTAAAGTGCTAGTTTTGGGAGGGAAAATCTTGTATTCTTTTTTCTTTTAAATCATTAGGTGTGTCAGAAGTAGCTTGTTTGCTTTCCTATAGTCTCCATCATTAAACTTCCATGAGTTAGTTATTAAGTTATTACTTTTTTCTTGCCTATGTGGAAGAGTGTGGAAATTTAAATTTGTGAGAATATGAGGGAGCAAATATATTATAAATTAATGGCAGATATTGCTGTTTATTAATTAAAACTTTGTCCCATGAATTTGATAAAAGAGGAAATGTTTCAAACATTAGAGGTCTCTGTAGTTTGGCAAAAGAGCAAACTCACCACATCCTGTTTAGTTTTAAGAAATGTGGATCTTACTCCTTTTCTCTTGTGTGGCATCTATGTGGGGTTTGGAATTAGGCAAATGAAAATGTGAGCTTTCAGAGAATGTATTTGCATTATGACTTTTCTTAAATACTTAAAATCTAGGGATCATTTAGAAATGAATGCTTGAACCTGGGGTGGGTTTAGGAAAGTTGAGATTGACATATACTCTAGCAAGAAAAGGGAAGCTACCATATTAATACTTATTTTCTAAAATCCTTAAGACCCTCAGTTATTACATTAATTCTCGAGGGTTAAAAAGGGCTGCGATTTGTCTGTAAAACCGGATGTTTCTAATGGAAAATTATTCAGAAATAATAGAACACAGAAATATCAGTCATATTTTCTATGAAAGGCATTTCTTCCTCATTTTCAATATATAGGGATGTTAGCGGAAAAGGCAATTTCCCAGAGGCAGATTTTCATCATTAAGGGACATTTATGGAAAGTTTGAAATAAATACACATAAGCTATTGCGTTTTCCTCTCAGCTTGTTTGCTGAGGGTTTATAAAATGTGATCAGATTTGGCTTTTTATTCAAATGATCAAGATTCACTGTTTATTCAAAAATTGTTATTTTGGATAGTGCCAGTAGCCGAGAAAAGAGAGGGTGGTGGGGAAAAGTGCAAATAATCCTTGGGTCCCAATTCCTGAGGCTTAATTTAAGCAAGTGAACTTGCTAGCCCAGGAAGAGCTAGCATAACAGAGTTCCATCGATGCCTACTTTCTATCACAAAGTGAATCCACTAGCATTAGGGACTATTATCACAATCTCAACAACTATGGTGATGAATTTGAAGTTAACAAAACATATATCTTCTCTTCCTAACTTAAGCCATATCTGTCATCTCTGTGTTTGGCTTTTTTTGACCCTGGTGCTTTTACTTCTGTTTCTGCCAAACTTCAGCCTACTCTATGGGGAAGGTGAGTAAAATTAGTGATTAGGACGAATGTAAAGGCTGTAAAAAAAAAAAAAACAAACTAAACATACTCTTCAGAATGTGATCCTAGTCAGAGAACAGTAATGATCAAATTACAAACTTGGAAAACATGGATATGTGTACATCTGTACATGTATATAGTGTATATTATGTATGTATATGTTATGCTCATATGCAGAAATCTATCCACAGCCCAGATGGGTCAGTTTTTCTACTGGAAAACCATTTAAGGCCATTCAAAACCATTAGAGCTGATTTGTGGGGAGAGATTCTACTCATTTGGGAATTAATTTGCTATCTTTTGAAGCCCACAAAGCCAAATAAACAAAGTGGAACCATTGTTTAGGTTATTACTTTTAGCTGGAATCAAAAGTTTCTGTATTTGAATTATTAATAGTCAGTTTGCAAACTGCATTGGTACCTCTTGGTTTTGAGTGACCCCCCACCCCCATCCCACCAAGTCTCTTGAGAGTTTGGGTGGGCTTCTCTGGCCATTCAGATAAAGGGCCTTATCCATAAGTGGACAGGTTTCCCCATAGGGACCATTACACATATGCATATAGTACATACTTCCATCAGGCTTGTAAAATTGATTTAAAATCACTCCACAGTATTGATAAATAGTTCTATATTTTCAAGGTGCAGAAGAATTCCACAGCCTTAATTATTTCAGTGTCTTGCTGGTCTGCCTTAAGTGTATCTTCTGGGTTTTTGGTTGTCTTATTATTTTTAAATTTTTTGCAGTTGTTCATTTTGTATGCACACAATGTCGTTTTGTAAAGGTAGGTTGTAAATATTTTATTTGTAAGTCCAAATCACTCATGTGTAATGTTGTAAAGTGATGACCTGCTGTCTTGTTATTAATTACTACAATAAATGTTATAAGTTATGGATGAAACTTCAAAATGTACACCTCACAAGTTATGCATTCCTATAAATATACTATACTAAAGGTATTATTTCTGGTGATCTTTTCTTTCTAATTTAGACCTTTGTTTAAAGAAAAGAGTAATTTTCTCTCCCTCAAAATATATGAAAGCCATTGACAAGCTGAAAACATTACATCATTGTTATTACCGCACTTTTTGCCCAGGATTTTTAAAAGGAAACAATAACTTTGTACCCTGGAGATGTATTCTACTAAGGTGTTTTTCTCTCCAAAAATGTGGAATAAGCCTCAATTGTTGTTGCCAAATATGGGCTTGCTACCAGATGACACAGAAACCAAAAAGCCATGCCATAAGCTTTTGACAAAAGAACCAATTTAATTTGAGGTCACCTGGCAGGAGACTGGAGGCATGACTCTCAAATCAATTTTCCAGTAGATCGGGCTTTGGAAAATACTTATGTGGTTAGAGAACAAATATAGAAAATGAAAGATGGTAGAGTCTGATTGGTTGCTTTCTACTAAATCATGGTGTAACTCAAATTTGGGTCCAGAACTCTACCATAATGAGCACCCCTTATTTCTGAATATTGTCTGTCTAACCACGAGACAGGCATTTTAGTTTCATGTCCTGTGTTTATTTTTGGTCCAGGCAATGAGATGTCATTTCAAGGACAGTGAGCACTTTTTGGGTCTGAGCTCTGACACAACTTATGACAGATTGTATTTTACCCCCTCTTGTTTCAGCCAGCTTGCCCTGCTGTTCTTGGCCATGGTTTCAATGTGTGTTAACTTCATTCTTGTGTTTCATATGGCAACTCTGTTAGAAAGGTGGCAGGTCATTTGGATTGGATCTCACTTTATGCATCACACTGAAGTCTGGGTTAGCATAGGCAGACAAGATCAGGTTTTGAAAGGGTCTTTGTGTGCCACCCTCATGCAAGTGAGACTAATTCATCGTACACTATCAATTACAGAGTGTTAGAAATTGAAGCTTTTTGATTAGCTTATGTCACAAAAAACCCCCACAAAAATGGTTTAACATTTGACATTTAGTTCATCAAGATTTTACTGCATTTATTTGAAATGAGAAAGAACTATCAAAAGCATGGCTTTTTACACTGGCAGGTCAGCACAATCTCTTCAGAGAAAAATATAAGGCATGTACAAATTAGAAATGAAATCAAGATCAATTTGATGAGTAATAATCATGTCTCCTGTGGTTTTAAGGGTTATTTTCCCTTCCATAAGGTAAAGTTTTGCCTCCTATCTATAGTGGTATTTTCGCCCCGCTGTAAGGGGTTTATTTGTAAAGCCCAAACATGCTTGGATTTTTTTTTTAATAGGTTCCCAAGAGTATCGTCCCAGATAACCTCAACAACGATCAATTCATCCTCTATTATCCGCCCAGTCTATTCGCTGTGCATTATGTGCCAGGTGCTTGAGATAGTCTAACAGGGATAAAACACATATCCTCTTCCAGGACTCCGTGGTACCTATGTAACAGGGTGGTCCCCAGGAAAGGGGGAGGTTCCAGCTTCCCTGCCCCACCCAAGGAAGGGTGGAGCTGAGCAGGGAGAGAGGAAGCTGCAGAAGAGACTGAGGAAGGAAGGAAGCAAGATGGAGCCAGGAGACCTGGAGGAGGCGCATGGAGCCTAGAGACACGTGAAGAAACTGCGCTTGTCTTTTGGTCGTGGACGGGGTGACACAGATGTGGGTGAGACCCATGGGGAGGTGACAATGGCAGCTTTTATCTTGATGTTGATTTTGCTCTTTTCCTTCCGGGCTTATCCGGTTGTTTGTGACCCTTTTCTGTGGGTCCCCACTGGAAGATGCTTTAGACTTGTAGCAGGCTTTGGGGCCTTGTTCTGGGCCAATCCCATTTGGATGGACTTTTACCCACGAGGGGATGGGTAACTTTGGGTGCTTCATTTAGAAACTAGACTCTTTGCCTTACCTGTATTGTTTCCTAGTTTTATTAAAGTTCCTTCCCATTAAAGTCTCCTATGTTTTGTGTTGATGCGGCGGATGGCAGAACCCATGTAGAATAGGCAGGTTTGCGGGGTTTGGGCTGCCCCTCTCCCTGTCCTATAACACCTACAGAACAGGTAATGAACAATTACTATCAACCTTAGAAAACCTGTGATGAAATTAGCAAAGTTAAACGGATTTTATGCGCAGAGTTGCAAATCAGAAAACCTATCCTCAAGGTTAAGAGTTATGTGCTCAGTGAAAATGTTCTGCTGAGCTCTTTTTCACTAACCGCAAGTAGATAAAAGAAAACCTTGAGGGTGGGGGTGGGGGGAGTTCAGTTCCGTATCTTGGGTACTTTACATTGCCCCTTTTCCTAGGCCATGTGCAAATTGAACCAGATGCCCTGAAGTAATATTCGCTTTTTCAGAACTTAACAAGTAATTTGTGGAAAAGCGGTAGTGGGAGGCGCGGCGGGCTCCTGGTTAATAATAGTTAAGTAACAAGCGTGGTGTAAGAAAAGAGATAATTAAGGGAACGAGTTAAGCGAGCATTGGGCGATACAAAGTGGGCGGGATTTATAAAAACTCTCTTGAGAGGTTTCACTTTATGATCCAGCAGTCAGTCTAATTATTAAACTGCTGCGATCCTATCCAGAGGCGGTCAAGCGACGACCAGGTCGCCACACCCGCGGCCACCGCCCGAAGCCCACAGCCTAGCGCCTTTTTGGCGCGCAGGGAGCGCGCGGCGACGCGCCGGGAAGGGGAGCGGAAGAGGCGGGACTCCGGAGTGACGCCATCAGTGCGCCGGCGCGACGCCATCAGTGCGCCGGCGCGACGGGCGCCGCCGGATTCACGCCACATGGGAGCTCACCGCCATGGCGCCTGTGGTTGCAGCTTTGGGCTCTTTGGTAACGAGTCTGTACGACATGCAGGCTTTCAAGTTTGGAGACTTCGTACTGAAGAGCGGACTGTCCTCCCCCGTCTATATCGATCTGCGGGGCATTGTGTCTCGACCGCCTCTTCTGAAACAGGTACCAGCCCGGGAAGTGGAGGCAGGGCTGGGTGGCTGGAACGCGTCTAGGAGAGATGGTTGTGAAGGGCTGTGGGGAAAGTGGAACTGGAGTTGCACTGTGAGTGAGAGCAGAAAGAGCCAGACAGGCCTGGAGGGTCGGTTAGAGCAGAACAAAAGCCAGGTACTATTAGGTTTTTGGAGTTCTAAGGAGCAGCCTCTTCTTGAACCCACTGGCAGGCTGGAAACTCGTTTTGTGGCTATTCCTTTCACAGTAGTTTGAAAGGAGTTCTGTGTATTGAGAGAGAGAGAGAGAGGAGAAAGAGAGAGAGAGAGAGAATGAATATGTATATGTATACATTCAGGTGTACTTGTGGATTGGATTGTTCTCACCGTTCAAAATTACTCAATGCTGCCAAATCTTCGGTGATGCATCGTGTCGTTGCTGAGAAAATGAATGATTATGACAAATTGTGTGTTTTTTTTTAACAAGTCATCGGTTCTTAAAATTTTTCATGGTAGATCTTGGTGAGTCTGTGGGTGAGGGTGTGAAGGATTGGTAGTTAAGTAGGAAGGAATTCAAAGCACCTGACTGTAACGTGTACTTAATCATGCAAATTGGGTTTCTCAGCATTTGCAACCCCGGAAAGCAGTAGAATTAGCATTAAATGCTCTTCAGAAATAACAGAAGTAAAACCAGTGAATCACCAAAGTAGTAATTAGCAAAAGTTTATCGTGCACACACCAAAAAGGCAGTTTGCAGACCAACAGCACTCAAACCCAAACATGGAATGAGACTTGGGATTATACTGCTAAAAAGCAGCTTGTATAGGGCCTCCCCGGTGGCGCAGCGGTTGAGCGCTGGGTTGTGAAGCTGCCCGCGGCCTCTGCGGAGCCAGTTCGATCCCCGGCTGCTCCCCGGCCACCGGAGGAGGGTCCCACATGGCGCGCAGACCTCTCCTGCCGCCCGCTGCTCCCCTCAGCAGTGTACTTCGGTCCTTCTGCCTGCTCTGCTCCCCGCTCTGGCTCTGGCGAATTCTCTCACCCTCCCGCGCTTCTGACTGTACCCAGTGCATGTGTAAACAAAACAAATAAATAAATAAAGCATGCCTCTATTAAAAAAAAAAAGCAGCTTGTATAATTAGGGGTGACTGTCCTTAGGAGTGATTGGTTAAAAGGTTAGAATTTTCCTTGGTTTTTCTAATAACCTTGGGAACAGTTGTGAGTTTTGCTTATTTCCGGAGGCTTAGACAAGAAATGACTCAGGTGAAGTTCCTCTTGCAAATAGGCTCAATCAAGGTTTGCTTGTAAGACTAAATTGGTTTTGTCTGCTCAGGGAATTTGTTTTTAATTTACCATTGATTTATAAAATAATATAAATTTATTATATAAATCTTCACCTCCATTTGTTTGTAGGCCTCCCTTCACACCCCACCAAAGTTCTAGTGCCCTTCCCACTATCTGGTAGATTCTCTCTGCCCTTCTCTCCCACCTACCTCCATGCCCTACCCCTCTTGTAACCCCTGTATTTTTCAGAGTTTAAGAGTTGTTTTGTTGTGATTGAATACTTTTATAGTCAATGTATGAGAGAACCCATCTGTCTTTTACTTTCTTGTTTTGTTTAGCATTTTCACCTCAAGTTCCTTCCATGTTGTTGCAAAAACAAGATTTCATCTTTTTAAATACCTGGGTAGTCCTAATTCCATTAATGAACTGGACTCCATAGCCAGTCATCTCTCAATGGGCATTTATGTTTCCATGTCTTAGCTATTGTGAATACTGCTCTAGTGAACATAGAGTTGCATAAATCTTTGCAAATTGGCATTCTCATTCTTCACATTAATCCGTAGGAGAGAGATGGCTGGGTCCTAATGGTATTTCCATTTTTATCTACATAACTGTTTTCATAGTGGCCGTGTTAGGGGGGAAAGGATGTCCTAAAGTTAATTTCATACAGGTTTTGTGGACTTCACCCCCACCCCAGGCCAAAGCCAAAGACACTGGGAACTCCAAATCCCTTCACCACCAAAGGGAAGGTGGCTGGGACCTGAGGGTGGGGTTAAGCAGCCAAGTTGTTATAAAGGCAGACACGTGGGCTTTGGAGGGGTCCCCATTTTGGCTCTCCATCAGCTAGCAGCGTCCGGCCAGCTCTGAGAGTGACTTTGGGTTTCCAGGTCGGCGGATCGGGTAGGACGCATTAAAGACTTTATTTCCCGGCCTCCCCGGTGGCGCAGCGGTTGAGCGCTGGGTTGCGAAGCTGCCCGCAGCCTCTGCAGCGCCAGTTCAATCCCCGGCTGCTCACTGGCCACCAGAGGAGGGTCCCACGTGGCGCGCAGACCTCTGCTGCCGCCCGCTGCTCCCCTCAGAAGTGTACTTCAGTCAGCCTGTTCTGCTCCCCGCTCTGGCTCTGGTGAATTCTCTCACCCTCCCGCGCTTCTGACTGTACCCAGTGCTTGTATAAATAAATAAAAAAAAATAAATCTTTAAAAAAAAAAAAAAAAAGACTTTATTTCCCTATTTTCTCCCTGAGTTGTACATTTTCCTTATTTCCTTTTCCCTTTTAAATAAACCTTTTATTAACCTTTTGTGTATGCCTGTAGTGGAGTATTAATAAGTCCTTTTTTAAGCGCGCGGGTGGGGACCCACCGTCAGGCATCCCGTTCAATATCAGGGCTGCCCTATAACAGCCGCACCAATTTACCTTCCCATTAACAGAGTCCATTTTTTCTCAACCCCTCACCAACATATTTGTTTTCAGTCCTTGAAATAGGCCATTCTCACAATGTACGATATCTCATTGTGGTTTGATTTGCCTTTCCCTACTTATAGGTGAATTTGAGCATTCTTTCATGTGCTTATTGTCAGTCTATATTATCTTTGGAGAAGTGGCCTATTCTCTGACTTTTTTTTGATTGGGTTGATTGGGTTACTTGTGGGGGTTTTTGTTGAGTATTTTTCCTTGAAAAATACTATTGGCATTTTAGTAGAGATTGTATTAAATATGTAAATTGCTTTGCCCATTCTAATAAGGTCTTTGTATGGATTCTTTATGTATTTTACATTATGTCCTTGTGAGATGTATGAAGAGGATATATCCTATCCCAGTTGGTAGCTTTTATTCATTTTTTGTGATGGTTTCTTTTACTGTACAAAACTTGTAGCTTTTGATGTAGTCCTATTTTTGCTTTTGTTTCCTTTGCCATTGGAATTGAGATTCCTAAGGTGTTTCTGGTTGATGTCTAGGAGTGTATTGCCTAAGTTCTCTTCTGGTATTTAATGGTTTTAGGTCTTATATCACATTTTTTTTTAAATAAATAATGGTTTTCACTTTTTTTTTTAAAAAGATTTATTTATACAAGAGCCGGGGTACAGGCCAGATGCGCAGGAGGGTGAGAGAATTCACCAGAAGCAGAGCGGGGAACAGAACAGGCAGACAGACGAAATACACTGCTGAGGGGAGCAGAGGGTGAGACAAGAGAGGTCTGCTCGCCATGTGGGTTGCTCCAAGGCTGGTGGGGATGGAACTGGCACTGTAGAGGCTGCGGGCAGCTTCACAGCCCTGCACTCAACCCCGCTGCGCCACCGGGGAGGCCCCGCTTTTCTTTCTTACTCCCTGCATGTAACTGTCTAGGTTTTCTAGCACCCTTTGTTGAGGAGGCTTTCCTTTCTCCATTGCATGATCTTGACTCCTTTGTCAAAAATTTAGCTGTCCATGTATGTGGTGGTTTACTTTTGATGGACTCTCAATTCTATTCCTTTGTGTGTGTGTGTCTCTCCCAGTAGCATACTGTTTTTGATTATTACCGCTTTATAGTATAATTTGAAGTCAAGGAGTGAGATGCCTCCAGTTTTTTTCATTTTTCTCAGGATTGCTTTGGTTATTTGGAGTTTCTGTTGTTCCGTACAAATTTTAGAATTTTGTTGTTCTGTTTTCTTGAAAAATACTATTGGGATTTTAGTAGAGATTGTATTGAATATGTAAATTGCTTGGGTGGTTTGGCCATTGTAATAAGATCTGTTCTTCCAGTCCATGACTCTGGACTGTCCTTCCATTTCTTTTTTTTTTTTTTAAAGATTTATTTATTTATTTATACAAGCACTGGGTACAGTCAGAAGCGCGGGAGGGTGAGAGAATTCACCAAAGCCAGAGCAGGGAGCAGAGCTGGCAGAAGGACCGAAGTACACTGCTGAGGGAAGCAGCGGGTGGCAAGAGAGGTCCGCGTGGCAAGAGAGGTCTTCACGCCGTGTGGGACCCTCCTCCGGTGGCCGGGGAACAGCCGGGGATCGAACCAGCGCTGCAGAGGCTGCGGGCAGCTTCGCAACCCAGCGCTCAACTGCGCCACTGGGGAGGCCCTCTAATTGTTTTTTTTTTTTTTTTTTTTTTCTCCTCTATTTTCTTAGTCTAGCTGGAGGTTTATCAAATTTGTTTATTCTTTCAAAGGACCAACTATTTCATTGATCTTTTTGGTTCTATTTATTTCTGCTATAATTTAATTATTTCCTTCTACTATTTTTTTGTTGTTGTTTACTATTGTCCTAGTCTCTTCAGATGTAAAGTTAGATTGTTTAAATTTTTTCCTGTTTGTTTATGTGGGCCTCTATGTACTTCCCTCTTAATATCACTTTTGGTAGATCTCATAGGATATGAGATGTACACCCCCCACCCCTCCCCACCCACCCCCACCCGTTGAGTCCTAGCTTCATAACATGTGATTGGAAAAGATGCTTGATATGATTTTAGACTTTTTATATTTATTGAAACTTGTTTTTTGTCCCAACATCCTTGAGAATATTCCATGTGCACTTAAGAAGAATATGTATTCATTACTTCTGGAATAGAAGTGCCTGAAAATATTTAGGTCATCTGGTTAATTGCTTCATTAAGACCATTTTTCCTTATTAATTTTCTGTCTGGATGATCTGTCCATTGGTGAAAGTGATATGTTGTCATCTTCTACTATGATTGCAATGCTGTCAGTGTCTCCCTTTAGGTCTGTTAATTATTTTATATATTTAGGTATACCTGCATTGGGTGCATATCTTAATTGATTGTTCCCTTAATGATTATAATACCTATTTTTGTTTCTTGTTACCTTATTTTGACTAAAGGTTTATTTATCAAATAGGAGAATAGCCATTACTCCCTTTTCTCTTTGTGTTATTGCCTTAAGATATCTTGCTCCAGCCTTTATTTGTGAGTCTGTTCGATTTCTAGGTCTGGTGTATGTCTCTTGTATACATAATGTAGTTTTTTTTTTTTTTTTTAGATTTATTTATTTATGCATACAAGAACTGGGATACAGGCCAGGGGTGCAGGACGTGAGAGGATTCACCAGAGACAGTGGGGAACAGAACAGGCAGACTGAAATACACTGCTGAGGGGAGCAGACCTCTCCTGCCGCCCACTGCTCCCCTCAGCGGTGTACTTCGGTCCTTCTGCCTGCTCTGCTCCCCACTCTGGCTCTGGTGAATTCTCTCACCCTCCCGTGCTTCTGACTGTACCCAGTGCATGTATAAACAAAACAAACAAACAAATAAATAAAAACATGCCTCTATAAAAAAAAAGTGATGTGCCAGTTCTAGTTCATTTGTATGTTAATTTTTCAGTACTCTAGAAATTAAATGTCTTATAACTTAAAAATACTCAGATTTGCCAGGTCTTGAGAAGCACAGGAGCATAATATTTTGAAGACCTCTGATCTAGTTCTCTCTAAAGAACTCTTACTACTTTTCTTTTTAAAAAAATAGAGTGGTGTTGGGTGGAAGTAAGCATTTCTAGCATTAAAATGTGATTTATGTGGAAAAGGAGTCTACAAGATGTATGTCACACAATAGACTGTATTTATGAAAATCTTGTGAGTTTTTTTTCAATTTGATTTGTTTTGTGTTCTAGTAAAACTTTCTTATGGAAACATTTACATTTCATATGGTTTCAATGTTGTGTTTATTAAATTAATTAGCCAGAGAGTATAGCTAGTAGGTGACCAAAATGTGGATTGCTAAGGAAAACTGGGAAGCCTGGAGGCTGTCCTTAATCTTTAGGGTCAGCCTTGGGGCTTTCCCTAACACATTGCCCTAAGAGCAGACTCTCAATTTAGCCCGCTAAAATTCATTTTTGTATTTTCACTTTTACATTTGTAATGGGGTTATGGAGAGGATAATTTAACAAAAGTCATTTGCATTTTTTGGGTCAAGTTTGAGACTCTCTCACAGGTTATTACTCTGTAATACCTGGTACATGATTTATACATTTAAAATAGTAATATTTTATGTCTTCATTTTCTTACAGGTTGCTGAGATTTTATTCCAAACTGCTCAAAATGCAGGGATCAACTTTGACACTGTATGTGGAGTGCCTTACACAGCTTTACCTCTGGCTACAGTTATTTGTTCAACCAATCAGATTCCCATGCTTATTAGAAGGAAAGAAGCCAAAGAATATGGTAAAGTCAAAGTAGTAATAAGTTGATATGTATGACCTGATAGAATCTTTTCTTCTTCTAGACACTGATGTTTTCATTGGTCCTTTATGTTATGACCAAGTGCTGTTTGTTTTTTCCCCACCAACTCCTCTCAGGAGCCAAATATTGTAAAAACACATACTTTCACAGTATGTTTATATTTATTTTTTTTTCATATATTTTTTAAAAGATTTATTTATGGGGAACAGGCCAGATGTGCAGGAGGGTGAGAGGATTCACCAGAGACAGAGCGGGGAATAGAACAGGCAGACTGACTGAAATACACTGCTGAGGGGAGCAGCGGGCGAGATAGGAGAGGTCTGCCACGCCAGGTATGTTTATATTTAAACTTCGTAGAGAGAAATACATAAATAAAAAATTACTTACAAAACTAATTGAAATTCTAAATGTATGGGTTTTTTTGATGGGCCCTTGATTATCAGGTAACCCACATGTTTTAAAAAGTACTTTTTTGGGCCTCCCCTAGTGGCACAGCGGTTGAGGGCTGGGCTGCGAAGCTGCCCGCAGCCTCTGTAGCACTGGTTCGATCCCCGGCTGCCGGCGAGGGTCCCACATGGTGCGCAGACCTCCCCGGCTGCCGGTGAGGGTCCCACATGGTGCGCAGACCTCTCCTGCTGCACCTGCTGCTCCCCTCAGCAGTGTATTTCAGTCAGTCTGCCTGTTCTGTTCCCCACTCTGGCTCTGGTGAATTCTCTCACCCTCCCGCGCTTCTGACTGTACCCTGTGCTTGTATGTATAAATAAATAAATAAATCTTTAAAAAAAAAAAAAAAAAGAGTACTTATTGAAATTGACTTGATATTTGAAGATATTGAGGGGTTAATAGGATTTTTTTTTTTTTGCTTTTATTTTGGTGAGATAGTGCTGTCCTTAAGAGTGCTTTTTACAAAAACTTGTGAAACTGTGAAATTGGGTGTCAGGGATTTGCTGCTAAAAATTAGGGGGAGGTGGGTGGGTAGGGTTATAGATGAAACATGGGTGTTTTATTTAAGTGTGTTTTGTTAAATATTGTCTAGTTTTGATTGGGATTGTCCATTACAAAAATATATATGAAAAAACACTGCTGGAAAGCGGTGTTCATGTGAACCCCTGTCCATAAGAAACAATTATTTCTTCATCCTCATTCTATCTTGAAATCATTGTGTAAATATGCTTGTTAAGTACTCAATCTTATATTCTAATCTGATTTAGTTAAGCTTGTGAGTTGAGGGTGGAGGGGGAATTAAGTGAAAAATGAGAAAGGTCAAAGATGGTACATATGGTAAAGCTCAAAGTGAGCAACATGTCCACCAATTCTGTTTCAAAATAAAGCCAATTGGGTGGTGGGGCATATAAAAAATGAGACTATAAATTCACAACCTAAGTTTTGTTTACACTTTGTAGGTTATCTGAAAAGTCTATTTTAAGGATTGGAGAGGAATAAGAATATTTGGTCACATTGCATTATATAATAAATAGGTAGTGACTAGTCTAATTAGTTGCTGGATATTTTCCTTCCTGAATTTATATTCTTAAAAAGCAAGTTTATTGTCTGATCTTGAATAATGATCATGTTTATTGATGGGAAAAGGAATGATTTCTTTGATATTGGGTTATTTCATAAGTCTCCTTTACAGGTGATCTTGCTTAAAGGATTCCCATATTTGAAATTTTGATCATAAAACAACTAGTATGTGTTTATACTAGCAAAATAATTTGCTAGTTTTGCTATATTTTATTGTAACTGACATTTCTAGGATAGACACACTACAAAATAGTAAACATGACACATCAGAAATAAAGTAGCTCAAAAGTAAATTATCAGAAAGTAAAATGTAGATCATCTTTTTACCATTTGGTAAATATATGCCAAATTTATACTGTATGATGCATCTTGAGTTGGATGAAGTACATAATTTTAAATTGGAATCAACAATTTTTTCTAGGTACTAAGCGTCTTATAGAAGGGGCTGTTAATCCAGGAGAAACCTGTTTGATAATTGAAGATGTTGTTACCAGTGGATCTAGTGTTTTGGAAACTGTTGAGGTTCTTCAGAAGGAGGGCTTGAAGGTCACTGATGCGATAGTGCTGCTGGACAGAGAGCAAGGAGGCAAGGACAAGTTGCAGGCGCAGGGGATTCGTCTCCATGCAGTGTGTACGTTGTCCCAAATGCTGGAAATTCTTGAGCAACAGAAAAAAATTGATGCTGAGATGGTTGAGAGAGTGAAGCAGTTTATTCAGAAGAATGTTTTTGTGGCAGATGATCATAATGGCTCTCTCTCCTCAATAAAGAGGGCACCCAAAGAACTCAGCTTTGGTGCACGTGCAGAACTGCCTGGGATCCACCCTGTTGCCTCAAAGCTGCTCAGGCTTATGCAGAAGAAGGAGACCAATTTGTGTCTGTCTGCTGATGTGTCAGAGTCCAGACAGCTGCTACAGCTGGCAGACACTCTTGGGCCCAGCATCTGCATGCTCAAGACTCACGTGGATATTTTGAATGATTTTACTCTGGATACGATGAAGGAGTTAACAACTCTGGCAAAACGCCATGAGTTCTTAATATTTGAAGACCGGAAATTTGCAGATATAGGGAACACAGTAAAGAAGCAGTATGAAGGTAAGTATTATTTAGGAATCTGCAAGAAGCAGAAACCCAGCTAAAACTGGGTGAAGAAAAAGAAATATATTGGCTCACATCACTGAAAAGTCCAGCCAGAACAGGCCTTAAACATGGCTTTATCCAGAAGCTCAAGGGATCTCTTTGGACTTGCTTTTTTCTCTCCATCTCTCTACTTTGCTTTATTCTCTCTTGACTTCTTTGTCAGGTAGGCACACTCCTTGCTTACCCCAACCCGGTCACTGTGGTGTAGAATACCTTATTAGCTTGCCTGGGAAATAATGTCCCATCTTTGGTAGTGTGTAGTTGTTAACAATATTTAAACTTCTTGAATGCAGAAGTGGTTGAGGGTAGTTTCCCCAACAAAAAAAAGTGGGTGTGTTGGTGCCAGAAAATGAGCTTAATATTTTGAATAATGAAAATTGCAGATGTTGAAAACAATTTAAAAAGCAGTATAGAGTCATAAAATTTATTTTCAGAATGAAAAGATCAGTTGATAGCTACTCTTTTTATGTTAACTAGTAACTCAAAGTAGAGCATATGTTGGATGGAAGAAATGCTTCTCTACCCATCCTTCTATGTAAACTTGTGTCAAATTGTATGTATCTTTTTTTTTTAAATTTAACTTTATAGACATTTCATGTTACTTAACATTTATGTGGGTCTTTTGAGATACGCTGGTTTTTCTTAAAATAATCTGTACGTTTCTTAAGCTATTTCTTTAGGGTAGATTTGTCTGTAAGTGACTTTCTTGTGCTTAAGATGGCATACAATTACTGGTTGCTTAACTGAGTTATACTGACATTTTGCATGTTTATATATGGCTTTTTCCTCCAGAGATTAATTAGGGTTGTTGCTGTCAGCTTTTAAAATGAATAAATTGCCTGTTGAAGTTTGAAAAAGTAAAGAGAACTAACAAGTAGATTTAAGAGATAGTGAAGTTACTAAGAGATCCTTGAAGAATGAAAATTTGTCATCTTCAGAGGAATTTCAGAATGTTGATATCTTCAGCCACAATAAATGCCCTCTTTCACTGGAGTCCACTTCTAATTGCCCAGCACTTGGTGGGCACTTCAACCTGCAAGGAAAAGCAGTTTCATCAATATTACTGAGAAACTAAGTATAGAACTGAAAGTTTTTTCTCATTGTGATTTCTCAGCTAGCTTCCAGGTAGATATATTTTTCACAGATGGAACCATAGGTCAACTGATAAGCACCGAAATTGTTGAAGTGTTTCATTAACATGTTACTAGAGATTATTTTATAATTGGTTGGTCGGACAAAAAAAATTGTTTGAAAATTAGCAAATATCTTTTTCCCCTTTCTTAGGTGGTGTCTTTAAAATAGCTTCGTGGGCTGATCTAGTAAATGCTCATGTGGTACCAGGCTCAGGAGTTGTGAAAGGCCTGAGAGAAGTAGGCCTGCCATTGCACCGGGGGTGCCTGCTCATTGCAGAAATGAGCTCCCTGGACTCCTTGGCCACTGGGAACTACACGAAAGCCGCAGTAAGTGACAGAGGAAATGGGGTGTGTAAGGCTGCCGGGGCTATTACACTGCATGTGGGGAAAGAAGAGACCTTACTCTGGAGTCTAGAAACTGCCCCCGCCCCACCCCCCCAAAAAAACGACATCAGCTATCAATGTGATAGTATATTAATATTAGCTGGCTAGAGTTCCCTCATCATTTTATCTTATAGTGGACACTTGGGAGATTTGAATTCTACTCCAAGAGATAATATGGCAACGGATTAGTCAAATACCAAAGTTGTCTTTTTCCTGTCACCATCAGTTGAAACTGAAGAGCTTCTTCCCAGTCATGTAGTTTCTCCCAGTCTCACAAGTCATATGGATAGGCACGTTCTCAGGCAGCACCAATTAATTGATTTTAATTGGTGTTACATATGGGAAAGTTCTTAGTCCAGGCAGTTTGTTTTAGTAACTCCCCCATCATTAAAAGTTTTTATATCACCATATACATTGATACCCACTCCCCATAAAATGAGATAGAGAAAAATGTGTAAACAACTTTTTAGTTATCTAAGTTTCATAGTTGCACACTCACCTAGAAAGGTGGATAGTTCACCTTTACAGATAATTTAAAGACTTTAAAAATTGGCATGGGAATTATATTTTATTTTTATTTTTTTAAAGACATTTATTTTTAAAAAGATTTATTTATTTATACAAGCACTGGGTACAGTCAGATGTGCGGGAGGATGAGAGAATTCACCAGAGACAGAGCAGGGAACAGAACAGGCAGACTAACGAAATACCTTGCTGAGGGGAGCAGCGGGTGTGGCAGGAGAGCTCTGTCGCGCCACGTGGGACCCTCACCGGCTGCCGGGTATTGAACCGGCGGTGCAGAGGCTGTGGGTAGCTTTGCAGCCCAGCACTCAACTGCTGCGCCACCAGGGGAGGCCCAGGAATTGTATTTTAATATTTTTCCAAAGACCGTCCATGGAACTGTGAAGAATTCATATGACCCTAAGGTCAAGTTTAAATCCCACTTGCGAATAAACCACAAATATCTGATTTCCCAGCACTTAGAAGAAGAGTGAGTCTACAAATGAGTCCAATATTGTGTGTTCTGGGAGTCTGATTTAAGGACAAGATAGCACTTGTTTGTAGGTGGTATTATTTCGTGGCAAGAATGAAATACTGTGACCCTCAAGGAATAGCCAATTTAGATAGTCAAGTAAACAAACCTAGAGAAACTTCTGTAAATGTAAGGTAATGGTTTTTATAAGGCAGCTGTCTTTTTTTTTTTTAACTGAAGTTTAGCTGCCTCCTCTGTACCTAGGCATTAAGTCTTGAATATGGTTTTATGCCATTGCAGTGTTTTCTAGCGTACTCACCTCAAAGCCTTTTTGGAAGTAGGCCCTCCTCCAGTGTTACTACAAATAAGTAGCTATGTAACATTTTGATTTTAGATATACATCCTATTGAAATTTTTAGGCTATGGCTAATTGGCAGGAAGGGTAATCTTTTTTTAAGATTTATGCATACAAGAGCTGGGGTACAGGCCAGAGGTCTGGGGGTGGTGAGAGGATTCACCAGAGACAGAGTGGGGAGCAGAACAGGCAGAATGACTGAAATACACTGCTGAGGGGAGCAGCGGGTGAGACAGGAGAGGTCTGCTTTGTTATGTGAGTTGCTCTCTGGTGGGCTGGGGATCGAACTTGTGCTGCAGAGGCTTCGGATTGCTTCGTAGTGCGGTGCTTAACACCTTGTGCCACCAGGGAGGCCCAGGAAGGGTTATCTAGAGTTCTTTATGGAGCGGGTATATAGATTCATGTGTAAGATGACCTGTTTCAGACATGGAGTTTATATTTAAATGATAAGAGAAAGGACATCTATAACATAGCAGTTTCTTATTAATAGTTTTTGCTTTATCCTCTGATTAACTGCTTTCTTGTAATCTGTCCTATTACATTCAATTTAGGTTGGAATGGCTGAGGAGCATTCTGAATTTGTGGTTGGTTTTATTTCTGCCTCTCGAGTAAGCATGAAACCAGAATTTCTTCACTTGACTCCAGGAGTTCATTTAGAAGCAGGAGGTAAATCTATTCATTTATCATAGTTTCTCCAAAATGCTTCTTACTCAAGTTAGAGCATAACACAATTTTGTGTGTTATTTTAAAGTTGTTTTTTGCTAAAGAGAAAATTTGTCTAGAACAGTAACATGAGTCCTCTGGCCTGGTGCAACTGACCAGGATGGGGTTGGGGAGCAGGGTGTAGAGAAGATATTAGCCTTCCAGAGTCCTGTATTTCAGATTTTTGTAGTCCTGTGGGCCCAAGAATGCCAGGCCCCTCCTGTCTACTAGGATCAGGGGCTCAAAAGGTATTCTCTGTGTAGACTGTGCCCAAGACTTTGGCTGTGTTGTAGGTGAATTTAGGGGGCAAGGCACACCTGAGATTAGTTTTTAGCAACTGGTACCTGCTTGCCATCCTCAGAAACTCATTGGGGAGCGCCTCCTCTACGTGCACATGCCATCCTTGCCAGGAAGGTTGAAAGGGTATAAATATGGCACCTGACCATGCTTCCATCTTTGGAAGTCTTGACTGGCCTTCGCCCATACATCAGGCATGCCACACTGAGCAAGTAAATCTCCACATGCCATCCCAGTGCTTTCAGATTACTGTCTCTTCGGTCCTAGGGTGAGTTTGCCTGCAAGTTCTCTATAGAGGGACTTGTCAGTTTACCACTCTGAGTTACCCTGGATATATGCCCCATGCTTTTCAAAACTGGGCACAGACCCGTCAATCCTTGGGTATAAGCTAAGGGTGTACAGACCCCTCCCCATTATGGGTCACTGCTGGGTTCCTGGCAAGAGAAGTCTCTGCCTTGCTGTGGTCCTTTTGTCCTATGTGGAGGTGCTTTTCAACTAGCAGGGTTTTTTGGGAGGAAATTGTTTCATACATAGTTGTACATTTGATGTGTCTGTAGGAGGTGTTGTGTTCAGGGTCTTTATAGTACCATCTTGCCATTTTTAATTAAGTGCCTTAGACTGAGAATTCAAATAAATCAAGGAATGGTAAAAGTACATCAGAGTTAAAGAGTACTAGAGGTTTTCTACATGGTTTCCCATTATAGATTTCATATACCCCCCAGTAGGCTTCAGCAGAAAGATGCACCTATCTAAGCTGTTATAGTAGTACTTGACAACTTTTGGCCTTTTTCTTTTTAGCCCCACATTTGAAATAAATGTGGATACCTGACACTTGCATTTAGTGACCACGTATCTAAGTCATTTTACTTTTAGTCTCATTCTTAGTCTGTAAAATGGAGTTAACATTCACTTTATAGGGTTGTTTAGGAACTTTCATGTTTAGAAGCCCTTAAAAGTGTTTTGGCACAGAATAAGCACTCTGCTTGTCAAACTCTTACTGTTTTCTCATAAGCCCTCACAATTCTTTTGACTAAATAGTACTTTTGAGAGCTAAGCTTCTAGGGCTAATTAAAAGCATCTTGGATTTGAAATAAAAACCATTTTAATAAAAACCATAGCAGAAGGCTTCTAGAACAGCATAATTTAAAAAGGAAAAAAAAGCAGTGGAGGCCTCACTGCCAGATTCCTTGTTTTGTTCCCAAGAGGAACAAATAGCCTGGGCTAATATACCACTGAGAATCCCATGGTGTGGTTGTAAGACTGAGGCACCCCCTACATCTTAAACTATTAGAAGGGATACAGGCATTAGTGTGACTGAAGTTGGATGGAAGAGGGACTTGAAATGGTGGTATGCAGGAGATGGTGAGGTGGGTACTGCCCTTGACCCAGGTGAAGTGCAGAGGAGCTGGAATGCCACAGAGACTAGAAGGGCAATGGCAAAAATGCTCTAGACTGTGCCCCTCCCATACCCTTTGGGATCCATACTGGCGCTGTGAAGCATACTCACAGGCTGCCAAGTCTCAGATCTGGGACCACAGAGAGACTAAAAGAGTGTCATATACTCCTGCCCCTCGGTATATCCATGATAGCAGCTTGTCTTCTATGCTTCTCCCTGCAACTGCCATTTACTGGCCTAAGCACCTACAGTAGACAGTAAAAAATAAAGCCATAGCAACACCTGCAGGAAAAACAAGACATGAACATCTCAATTCTAAGTTGCTGATCCAAATTCCAAATGGACAGGCGGATAAATACAATTGCAGGCCGGTTGAAATCTCCGGCTCTCCATAAACCAAACTCAGACATGAACTTTTTATTCTTATCAGAGTTCAGACAGCTCTCCTAATGAAACTTAAATCCAAATCTATATAGACACCAGAAAAGCCCGTCAATAAAGTCTTCATTACACATAAGTGAACCTTTCTGCCAAAAGCCCATCAAGCGCTCAGACTATGTAGAAACCCTAAGCCTGCTTTGACTCACCTGTGTACAAAAAGGAACTAGAAAGTACATCATTTTTTATTAAAGCAGGTTAGATACTATTTTAGAAAAGTAGTGACAGATTTTTCTGATTTTTATACTGTTATTTAACTGACTTTTGTGTTATTTGCAGGGGATAATCTTGGTCAGCAGTACAACAGCCCACAAGAAGTCATTGGTAAACGAGGTTCTGATATCATCATTGTAGGTCGGGGCATAATAACAGCAGCTAATCGCCTGGCAGCAGCTGAGATGTACCGAAAAGCTGCTTGGGAAGCTTACTTGAGTAGACTTGGTGTTTGAATGTTTTTTTTGTGAAGGCCTGAAATGCACTGGCTTGAAATAAGCAGACTTACTACTGCTTGGATTCTTTCAGGGACCTTGTATTGTGACATCTGGGGTGTTGGGCTCTAGGAAATACTGAGTGGCTTATAAGCACTACTGTTATAGTTTATTTTCAGGTGTTCTTTTATTGAGTCTGATGTTGGCTGGACAATCTCAGCCCTGACTTTGTTAGGGAGATATCCTCAAATTTGGAAGCTAGCTCTAGATCAAACTGCTTTAGATTCTTTTAATTGCCATGAGACAAAAAGTTTAGGATATTAAGCTAAGCCCAGAACACCATTTCTTGTGTCTAGTGTGATACTTTAGGTATACAAATGGTGCTGGTTCCCTGAACTCTTGTTACTCACCAGAGAGAGCAAGGTAACCATAGCGAAGTCCATGCAGCCAATGTCTGGCTCTCACTGCAGCAAGTGGAGCGGGTTCCACCTCACCTTCTGCCCTAGGCAGGCAGCAGTTGTGGGCCTGTGCTGAACCTCGGTCGCATAGCTTCCTTTCCCACTATTGGGTTTACAAGTGAACTGACTGCTGCTTTGTTTATGAGTCCATTGGGAGGCTTGCTTAAGGATCCCACATAATTGTTCTGTCATTGACATGGGAAGTCAACCTTGGCAAGAAATGAGACAAAGGAGTCCAGCAGCCGCTGTCATTGACATTTCTGTGTTTCCACTGGGGACATCCACCTATCCTCATACACTCCACCTTTACATGTGTAGCATAATTTCTGACTAGATTTCCAGTATTTTGGAATGGCCCCTACTCTGCATGTTCAAAACCCAGTTTGAGCAGAGACAGGATGGCACTTGTTTGAAGCTTCAGTTCACCAGCATACTCAACCTGCTGGCCTTGTATGGTCGTACCTGTAGCCCACAGCAGATGTCAGGACACTTAGTCAACAGTTGTTCCATCCCTGATCACCCCCCACTCCCCTCTCTAGTAATTCACAGCCTATTCCATCTTGCCATGTTGGAAGGTCTAGGTGAAAAGCAGTCTGATTTAACTCCTTGTGTAAGAATACCCTTTCTCTGATAATGCCATCTCTGTTGCTCATTACAAAAAGAGCTCACAATTATAACTTTGTTTTAAAGACGCCTGTCAACCAATCCAGAATTTTTGAACAAATGACTTCAGCCCCTTACAGCTCTCCTATTCTCTGACACTGAGGGAACACACCCTATCCTTTGATTGTGGCCCCAAATCTAACTTCTGTTCTCAAATAAACATATCCTTGATTAATAAACATTTCCTTGATTAGGCTGATTCTATAAAACCCAGTTTAAGCTTCATGCCTCCAGTGCTACAGCTCCTGCTTTTCCCGCCATGAAAAGCAGTTATCAAGGAAATTGAAAGGGCCAGAAAGAAACGGAAGAGGTGGGGGACCCCCCTGGTGGTGCAGCGGGCTGAGCGCCAAGCTGTGAAGCTGCCCACAGCCTCCATAGCACGGGCTCGATTCCCAGCCGCCAAGTCCACCCCAAACATCCCCAAATCCAACCTCTGCCTGCACACATTTTCTTGATTAGTCTGAGCCCATAAAACCCAATTTTAGCTTCAGGCCTCCAGTGCTACAGCTCCAGGGCCCTCATGGGAAAAACAATTAAGGAAATTGAAAGGGCCAGAAAGAAGCACAAGAGGCGGGGGACCCCCCCAGTGGCGCAGCGGGCTGAGCGCCAAGCGTGAAGCTGCCCACAGCCCCCGCGGCGCGGGCTCGATTCCCGGCCTGGCCGGGACACCGAGGCAGGTCGAGCGCGAAGCGCAAGCCCGCCCGCAGCCCCCGGATTCCCAGCCAGCCCAGACACCGAGGCGGGCCCGAGCGCGAAGCCGCCCGCTGGCCCGGATTCCCGGCTGGCCCAGACACCGAGGGAACACACCGCGACCCCAAATCCAACTTATACACATCTCAAACATTTTCTTGACTAGTCTGTTCTAGTTCTCAAACATGTCTTGATTAGTCTGACCCCATAAAACCCAGTTTAAGCCTCAGGCCTCCAGTGCCACAGCTCCAGTTCCCTCTGGGAAAAACAATTATCAAGAAAATTGAAAGGGCCAGAAAGAAATGGAAGGGGTGGGCGCTCCCTGGTGGGCTGAGTGTAGCACCGTAAAGCTGCTTGCAGCCTCTGCAGTGCGGGTTTGATTCCCAGCCAGCCAGGAAATATACCCACATGGCGTGGCAGACCTCTCCTGTCTTGTCCGCTGCTCCCCTCAGCAGTGTTGGCCAGTCTGCCTGTTCTGCCCCCATCTGTCTCTGGTGAATCCTCTCACCCCACCCTCCTACACTTCTGGCCTGTACCCCAGTTCTTGTATAAATAATCTTTTTCAAAGGGGGTGTGACTGGAGGACCTCAGATTTAGGAAGAGGGAGGAAATATTTCTAATAAAAATTTTAAAAATACCTTGGGTATCCTGGAATATCTTCAGGCTGAGAGGCTTTGGGGATATGCTGGACCTCAAGTGCTTACTTCAAGAAGGACTTACCGGCTCAGTGGGTATCATATCAGCATGCATCAGACACACCTAGAAGCTTGTTAAACCAGATACTGGTCTCCAGCCCCAGCATTTCTGAACCTGGATAGGTCTAGGGTGAGTGAGGCTTGAGGGAATTTGCATTTCTAACAAGTTCCCAGGCAAAGGTAATACTGGTGCAGCAACCACACTGAGAAACCATGCACTGCTGAGTTATCTGCCTTCGAGAAGTATAAGCTGCTGCCATAACAGGAATTGGTGCTCCCTGTTCTGTTACTGAAGCTTTTCAAGGCCCTTACTATGTAACTTGGAGAACCAAGGTGGTCCAACAACCACCTGGAAATGCCTGTGTTGGAAATGCAGGTTCCTGGGCCCACCACTTCTACTTCAGCAGATTTGGGGTAAATCCTGGAAATTTGTGTTTCTAATATGAGTTGCCACTGTTGCTTTTAATGTTTATTGAGAATAAGTCTGGTGGTGCTACCAATGTTGTAGGCCCCTTTGGAGTTAGAAACTTCAGCTGTCTCAGGGCCTATGAGTTTGCTATTCAGTATAGGAGTATTTTGGGGATATTAGTTAAGCCCTTCCTCTGTCAAGAAGTATTTATAGTATTTATAGAAGTATTTATAGGTATTTATAGGTGGGCCTCCCCGGTGGCGCAGCGGTGGAGCACTGGGTTGCGAAGCTGCCCACAGCCTCTGCAGTGCCAGTTCGATCCCCGGCTGCTCCCCGGCCACCGGAGGAGGGCCCCCCATGGCGCTCAGACCCCTCCTGCCACCCGCTGCTCCCCTCAGCAGTGTACTTCGGTCCTTCTGCCTGTTCTGCTCCCCGCTCTGACTCTGGTGAATTCTCTCACCCTCCCGCGCTTCTGACTGTACTCAGTGCTTGAATGAATGAATGAATGAATGAATAAACAAAAAAACAAGAGTTCTCCTTAAAAAAAAAAAAGGTATTTATAGGGCATGACTTCTAAGTATTGTCTGATCTAAACTTTGATCATACTGGGGAAAACAGGACTGATCCCTGGATGGCATCCAGAAGTAAGATTAATGGGGTGGAGAACTCTATCCCCCAAACTCCTCCAAGATTCTACACATAAGCCAATCAGCTTTCATTGTTGGAGGAAAGGAGCCTGGTCCAGCACCTATTTTTGGGTTCAAGAAGTACAGGTGCAGAGTTGTGGAGACCTGCTCACAGCCAGTCTCTGTCCCACATAGCCCTAGAGTCTCTTAGTCCCAATTCTTTGCTGCTCTCTGACTTCCCTAGTCCCTGTGGTCTCATGGACTGTGGATAACCTTTCCTCACTTCCATTGCATAAAGGGCATTTCTCCCAACTTAAACCAAACTACAGTCATCAAAGCTTGAGTTGGAAAAAGCCTCTCAGACTTAATGGGTAGACAGGAAAGCCAGCCCTGCCTCCTTGTCTTCTTGGGGCTTTTGTCAAACTTTTCTACCCATGTGAGATACTCACAGGGTGGGATCTGCAAAACCCTCAACTATTTTCAGTGTAGGTTTTTTAAAAAATACTGTTTTATGGTTATGGGCAAGGACACGAAAGTCAACCAGCACATCAGCTCATGCAGCTATCCCATTACGTACCTCACCAAGATGGTAATCCAGATTTGTTCCTGACTTCACTCCCCCTTAAGCAGAATAATAACTATTCATGGATGAGACACCACTGATTCCTGAGCATAGGAGCAAGGCTGAAGCACCCTCTCTATACCATAGAATCAAGAAAAACTGCATTAGGGTTAGAGGGACAACTATACTCTGATGGCATTGTTCCACCCCCAGGCCAGCATAGCACCAAGCCAAGAGATCTCCAAGCCTACAATTCCTCCCGTGCAGAAAGCCCAAGAATGACATCTAGCTCCCTGTCAGCACTGTGGCTCACTTTTTGGGAGCCCCGGCTCTGGTTTCACCAACAAGGATTGTAGAGGAATCTTGAGAGCTCAACTACTGGAAATGTTAACTGTGACAGAGAAGGGGGAGATTTCAACAACCAGCACTTGAATCTTGATAGACTAAGTTCCTACCTACAGAGCCTACTCAAGAATCAAAGATTATGAAAAAGCACCATCCTACCAAAGGAAACTAATAAAGCACTGATAATAGACTACAGAAATGAAGACACATGCCACATGTAAAAGAAGGAAGTTGGATTCTAATTCCTTGACAAAAATAAATTTCAAATGGATTAAAGATTTAAAATAATTATTTTAAATAGTTAATAATTAAAATACATAGAAAAAAATCATTAAGTTCCATAGTGATAATGATAAAGATGTTTTTGGAAACAACACAAAGCAATTGAAATAAAAGCAAAAATAAACAATTGGAGTTACCTCACATTAAAAAGCTTTTACACAGCAAAAGAAAATTGTAAGTAAGTGAGAATGGGACCCTATTGAGTAATACTTGCACATTATGTAACTGACAAAGAGGCTATCTAGATCAATAAATGGAAAACTACACATTGGTCTGAGTAAGATAAAATTTACAACTACAATGCGCTATCACTTCAAATCTGTGAGAACAGCAAATAATTACAGAAGACAGTTTGCAGTCCCAAAATTGTAATAGTTAACTTTTTCCACATTCTTTCTAGTCCAAATATGGCTACATTGAGACATGTTATCATTCTAAAAGGAGTGTCAGAGAGTAGTTACACAAGGATTCCCATAATACTGTGGGTGGATTTGTCAGCTGACCTTTCAATACAGAAGAGAATGTGATGCCATGTTAATAGAAAAAACTATTAACCCAGAATCCTATACCCAGTAAAGCTGTTCGGAAAGTAGGGATAAAGACTTCTGAAAAACGAGAGCTGAGGGAATCCCCACTAGACCTGCCTAATAAGAAAGGATAAGGGGAATTCTTTGAGTGGAAAGAAAAGGATGCCAATTAAAAACTTAAGACAGTGTAAAAGTCACTAATTGGTAAATATAGGATCAAAGTTAGATGTAATATAGTAATGGTGGTGTGTAATTCACTTACAACTCTAATGGTTAAACAGACTTAGAAAACTAAGGGGTAAAAGTGAGCAGCAATACAACAATACTCAAGAATTTAATACCTCACTCAACAATGAATAGATCATTCAGACAGTATCAATAATGGACTTGAACAACACTCTAGACCAAATGAACCTAACACATAGAGCACTTTATCCAACAACAGCATGTACATCAAATATTTTCTAGGATAGGCCATTATTAGGGTGCAAAACAAGTGTTAGAAAATTTGCTATGGCTGAAAATCATACTAAGTATCTTCTCTGACCAGAGTGATATGAAACTACAAATCAACAGGAAACTGGAAAATTCTCAAGTACATAGAAATTAAACTACACTGCCCTAAAAAGTCAAAGCCGCAAAGAAAGGAGATAATAAAAAAAGAAAGTATCTTGAGAGAACCCAAAATGGAAACATACCAAAACTTTTTTTGTGTGTTCATAGAAGGACTGAGGTGCAGGGGGTGAGAGGATTCCTCAGAGATAGAGTGGGAGAGATAGAGTGGGAGCAGGACAGGTGGATCTACTGAAGTACACTGCTGAGGGGGCAAGACAGAAGAGGTCTCCTGCACCATATGTGGGTTAGCTTTCTGGCTAGGGATCAAACTTTGGCCATAGTGGTGATAGTGCTGAGACTGAACCAGCTAGGCCACCAGGGAGGCCCCTAACACCAAAACTTAATGGGATGCAGCAAAAAAAATTTTTAAGTGGGAAGTTAGGAATGAATGCCTACATTAAAAAGTTCCAAGGGCCTCCCTGGTGGCGCAAGGGGTTAAGATGCTATGAAGTTACCTGAAGACCCTGCGGCACTAGTTCAGTCCCCGGCCAGGTAGTTGACCCACATGACGCAGCAGACCTCTCCTGTCTTGCCCACAGCTCCCCTCAGCAGTGTATTTCAGTCAATCCACCTGTTCTGTTTCCCATTCTGTCTCTGTTGAGTCTTATCATCCTCCAAACCTCTGGCCTGTACCCCAGTTCTTGCTTGCATAAATAAATATTTAAAAAAAAACCCAAAACAACCAACCTAACTCTATAATTTAAGCAACTAGAAAAAGCTGACAAAGTAAAACTAAAGTTAACAGAAAGGAGGAAATGATTACCACAGAAATAAATGAGACAGGAAAACAAAACAAAAAAAGTCAAACTAAGAGTTGGTTCTCTGAAAAGAAAATTGGCA